TAAGGGAGGTGGGTGGCTGCTAGGCTGTCTCCTCACCTTCCCTCACCCTAGGACTTATCTCAGCCCTTGGATTGAACTGATTGAGGGGCTGAGATAGTTTCAAGGGTTATTTAATGAGGGAGAGGTGTGTGGCTGATCAGATGGTGTCACATACTCCTCCCTCTAATTAAGGAAGAAATGAACCACCATACTTAAGTGGGCAGTTTCCTTAATTTGAGGGGAGAGAAAATGCCTCCTTGTTGGGCCTCCTCCTTAATTAACTTGGGCTGTCCAGCTAGCCCATGGGCCTAATATGACCCGAAACATAATATTAAAATAAAGCCCATTACCCCTTAAATAAATAAATATAATAATTTAGGTATAAGAGAGAAATCCACATGATAAATCTTAAACTCATATACATGAGTTAACTTAAGGCTTAAGAGATGCATAATAAATCATAAAAACCATACGGATTATGTTTTATATTTTTTATAAGAATGAGTCAAAGCACTAATACTAATTCTGATTTAATAAGAAATTCTAGGAAAAAAGAAAAACCTTTAGAATATTTATTTTAACTTGAAATAAATCTTATAATACTTAGAAAAATACAAAACATCTTTTAAATTCAGAAAAAATACTTTGATGATATTAAATCATTATAAAATATTCAAATATGATTTAGGTAAACTTATATAATTTTTATAGTCATATTTTGAGATAAATAAAGAAAAATAAAAGAAACAAGGTCGTGGTTAGCTAGGCCTGCACATGGGTTGGAGGCATAGTTTGGTGAACCATGAGCTAGGAGCTCAAGTGACCAAGGAACAGTCAAGGCAGTATCACTTCCCTTCCACATCATTCGTGGGTAGCTAAGTGTGGGGCAAGGAGTGGTCATACACACATAGGCATGTGAGAGAGGATGTTAAAGATAGAAGGAGGTATTAATGTCTTAAAATATCAAAAATAGTCAATGTGGGACTAAGCCCATGTTAGCATTTGCTTGTAGATTTAAATATTTTTATACTTCAAATACCCCTAACTTATAAGAGGAAAGATACATACATAATGTCACTAGGTCAAGGGAATGTAGGTAAATTATATTTTTTCTCTCACACATCTGAGTGACTAGTGAGGGTTTGAATTTACAAGAGCTACAAATTATATTTTTATTTGATTAAATTGTAACTTTTGTGGTCAACACCAATCAATGGTTTAGTCACCAAAATTACACGATCATTGATAAAAAATTTATCAACACTATTCACATATAATTATGAACAAGTCACCAAAAATTTTGAGAAAATAAAAATTCACTAAGAGATGAGTTACCTCTCCTCAAATTATATCAAATGCAATAAAGAATTTCCCTTTATTGTAGAGACTTGAGAATGAAGTTTCCTAAGACATGCTCTAGCTCTATCAAATTCATGTCTATTAGATGACAATTGGTGAAGATTTGAAAGCCACCAAACTTCTGTTTTGCTAAGTGATAGTTGTTTGAAATGATTCATCAACTCACCTCATTAATTTTAGAATTCAAAAGAAAATCTTGAGATTACCTACGTCGTCTATGTCCAAGGAGAGCCTTTAGGGCTGTGGATATCATATAATAAACCTCTCCAAAAGTCAAATTCCAACGATCACTATTATGATGTCAAAACTCTATTTTTACTTTTTCAAACTTAATTAGTTCTTAATTTAATACCATTTTGTGTGATTTCAAAATTCAAAAATCATTTTTAGTCAATTTTGATTCATTTGATTTTTACAAATCTTAATTTATTCAACTAAATCATCTATAATTATTTATGTCAAAATCACCAAACATAATTCTATTTTCTCCTAAGTATTTATTTTGTGAATTTTCAATTAATTTTTATTATTATATTTAGTCTAAAATTCATATTTTTTGAAAAAAATTAAAATTTTATCCAATTTTATCTTACAACTCTATGATATAATTGAATATTTTCTATAATTTTTGAAAAAAATTATCAAATTATAATTGATTTAATTTTACTAAAATATTTTCAAAAATTCAAAAATTAGTGTTTTTTTATAGTTTTATATATTGTACATTTATGTAATTTTTTATACTAATGATTAAGTCACATTAATCATGAACTCAATCACATGTCTTATCACTACAAATAGCACCCCTTCTAGGCAAAAACACGATTCCCAACACCACATGCCTTAGTCTAAACATACCAATCTCCTTTAAGACCACATCTTTTGTGAGTAGTATTAGGTTCTCAACACCACATGCCGTAGCTTAACCCTCTCTCCAATCATCAGTTAGGCACCTAAGTCTTTAATGTGGGAATCACATGTTGACTTAAATTACCACTACATAATTGAATATTTGACATAGCTTTAAGTTCTTAATTGAATGTGTTGTAGTATGATTCTATAAAATGGAGAAGCATATTCCTTCGAGCGTGAATAAATATAATAGAGATAGATTGGCTTAAGATTAGTTTCTTCTTTGCAAGAAGCCATTTGAAAAGTCGAAATAGGTTTTTGTAATGACATTTTGGTGGCTTCTTGCAGTAAGATATTAAAAAAAGTTGTCTTCATAAAATATATTTATAATTTATTAAGTATTTCATAAATATGTTTTTACTTAAAGTATCAAAACCAAGGGCATCAACAATGAATTCTAATTTACTTCATTAAAGAGTTAGGACAACCTATGTACATTGTCCTTAGAGTGTGTTAGGCCACAAAAGCTAACAATTATAAGCTTGTGGGTGATTAGATCATAGTCAAAATTAGTAAACAACATAAAAATTGAAAAAATAACCAATTCACCCTTTGTTCGTTCCTAGTGTAGTCTCTTTAAAACTAAGACGAACAATTCCAAAGCATCCAAAGCTCTAAACCTATCATAGCATTCTCATCAATAAAAGCTAAAAATGTTTTATCTCATTTATATTTGTTTTCCAAAGTTTACTATTACACAATGATTGAAAAAGGTTAAAATTGATATCTTGAGATGGCATCTATGTTGGTGTTAATTCTTACCATGAGAAAGTTAAATCTATCTAGGCTTGGGAGAAACCAAATGGAAATACTAATTTGAGGCTTGGAGAGTAATGTAAGTTTGAAATTGACAAAGCCATTACAATATTGAGTCGTACCCTCTAGTAGCATTTTAATATTCAACTACCATTCGTTTTCCTCACTCTTGATTTCTTTAATATCTCAAATTCCCAACACACATTAAATAAGGTTCAAAAAATGAGGGCTTAGATTGTGAGTCCTATTTTAAGGTTTTCTTGCACTATAACAGAACCCAAGGAATCTTTGTGGGTAAGTATACCTCCTTTCACTTCATATAGACACCATTGAAAGCAATTTCAAGGCATATGTTCAACTAAAATGTAATGCTAATTTCCAAGGATGTGATACTAAAAATTTCAGATCGTACCTCATGAAATTTTGGCCTACTTGTCTTTGGATCCCATATCTAAAATTATTTTCAAATGACAAAATTTTACTCTATTTATTATTAGCATCATTTATAATTATACAAATAATGATAGCACAAATAATGAACATTCATTAATATATCCCAATGATTTAAAGTTTAAAGATCCTACAACCAGTATAAAATAACAAAATCCACCATAGTTTGTTACACTTAGAATAGTTTATTAAACTATTTTACTAAGGTCTAAAAAGCTGTTGTTCAAATGACATCAAAAAATGAAATATAACTATCTTGAGAGTGCATTTAGTGAAGATATAGCCATTACCTTACAAATACCAATCTTTGGATAGGTATGTACACTGAAAAATGTGCTTCCTTGAGAAAATAATTTTGATACCATAGGTTTGAGCCAATCCTGACTACGATTCCACTAAAGGTGATTGAAAGACATTAAGCTCAAGTTCCTATAGTACTGGGTGAAATGTAGAACTGATAAGAGAGGAACCAAGAAAGAGAGATATCTTCACTTTCGCCACAAGAGGAAAATTGTAGTCATGATTTAATTTAAAAGACACCACATTCAAAATAATTACAAACAAAATTATGTTGATGTGTTAGACACACAGAATTCATATTTTTAGTGTGAAAAGCTCTAAGGATGATTAGTATTGGCACGTTTTAATTTATGAAAATATTATTAACTAATGGATACATGGGTTATGAGTAAGAGATCACAAGGAGATGTCTCAATGGACCAAAAGCAACCATTAAAATGTCAACAATAATTTATGAATTCATTGATTGTTGGGTAACTACTTTGGTGATTCTGAAGCTCCTTGTCCTCAATGAAGGTGCCCAAACCTCAAGTAAAAAAAATTCATATTTTGTATCACTTGAAGTTCTTGCAAGATATTTGGCTAGTTGAACCTCTACACACTCAAATGCTACCAAAATTAGTAGTTGTATGTGAGGCCAAGTAAAATACCACATATTTTATAAGATGATAGAATATATCATCCTATTTTAACATTTTACTTCTATAAAAAATTATTTATATATTAATGTACAAAATTCAAGTTCAAATAATAATCTTGAACAACTCATTATTTTGTCTAGATGCTTTAGATCACTTGATAAAATAATTCATTGTCCTAATCACATTAATAATAAGATAAAAAATCATTATCAATAATAGAAATGACATTTTCCGTAAAATTTCTATTTTATAGAGATTATATAGCATTTAAAGTTGCTTGAATTTTTCAATAGTATTAAGGTTATTATTAATAAGGAAGGTTCATGTTTTCAACACAAATAACATGTGACTATTAAATAATGTTTCTCATGTTCAGTTCATGTTTGGAATAGTCTAACATTATGGTACATCAAAAATCCCATGTTTGTTGTTTAAAACCTAGTTTAATGTGCAATAAAGACATAGTGCTAATATTATTTTTCACACCTCTCTCAAACTTATATATAGAACTCATGGGTTCCTCTACTTCAGCACTCTCAACTTTCCCAGCTTCACTTTTCCTTTGTATTTCTTTTAAGCCAGAGGAAGGAGGGTGTGAGGAGTATGGGAAGATCAAAGTTCCTATCAATGCTTCTAGTCTTCACAATCTATCATTGCTGTGTGACAGGTCTATCTGTCAAGAGTATAGGTGGTCAGAAAAGAAAATTGAGAAGCGAAAAAGAGATTAAATGGCTTTTTGCAGAGTGGCAAGTGAAGTATGATAAATCGTATGATACGTCAATGGAAGAAAGTAGAAGAATTAAGATATTTAAGGACAATTTACGTTATATCACTGAGCACAATCGCCCAGAGAATAACCATTCCTTCACTCTAGGATTGAACCAATTTGCTGATCTCACTACTGAAGAGTTTGCAAGCATATATCTCAATAGTCATCTTAACGTAGAACCATCGTCACATGCAAGTGATCGTTACATGCCTAAAGAGGGTGAGCAACTCCCTAACTTTGTTGACTGGAGACGTGCAGGTGCTGTGTCTCCTGTGGAATATCAAGGCAATTGTGGTTAGTATATCATCTTTTGTATATTGATATATTCTATGAATGAATTTAATATCTTTAGATAAAGGATTGCAAATGTTCATAATAGTTAGTTTTCAAAACATTCCATATTCACATTTTAAAATTCTTTATTTATCTTCCAGTTGACATTTTGTTCTTATTTCATGATCAACATTATGCAAACACTCTTTGAGTTCATATAAACAACACTAAACCTGTGGATCAACGAAAGATATCCATAAGAATTTAGAACTCACCAACATATTTATCTAAGGTCACATAAGTCTATAACACAAAAAAAAATCATGAATCATAAAGAAGTTTCTCCCAAAAATCATGAAAATAAATGAAGATAGAAGAAAAGTTAATTCCATTCCCTTCATTGAAATCCCTTATTTTCATTTATTTAACTATCATTTTTCAGCATTATCACTACCCTTGCTTTATTTCTTTAATATCATTTCAGATGTACCCTCACAACATTAAGTGACAAAACACATATTTAACACAATTAATTTATTTATCATTATCCAAAAATACATGCCATTTGTGAAATTTTCAAATTCGAAATTTATAATGGAGATGATATCATTTATTTTATCAATATCTTCTCTTTACAATTCATGATGAACATTTTTTATCGTAATCTACAAGTCTAGAGTAAAACTTGTAGATTGATTTGGTGTAGTGATAGTTGAATTAGCGTAGTTGTGTATCTCTCCATGTTCTTGTACTCTCATATTTTAAATTACATTCATTTATTTAAAATTCTTGTATAAAAAAAATTAAAATTTCCATATTTTAGTATATTTGTGAGAATGAGGGATCATAATTATGTAACATAACCAAACAATGCAACATGAATCAATCAAGATTTGCAGAAAACCTAAAATTAAATAAGCCCCATACTTGATCATGCTCATTGTCATGAATTTTCCATCCTTATTTAACTCTAACTAAGCATTGACATAAACAAAGGGAGTTGTTGGGCGTTTTCGGCTGTTGGCGCTATTGAGGGCATAAATCAAATAGTCACGGGAAACTTAATGACCCTTTCAAAGCAAAATTTGGTGGACTGTGAAAGACTTTCTAATGGTTGCTTTGGGGGCCGTACATCGTCTGCCTTTCAGTATGTACAAAATTCTGGTATTGACACTGAATCTCATTACCCTTATCAAGGAGTTCGGCAACCCTGCAATCCAATCAAGGTAATAATATCATGTACTCTTAATATGCTTCCTAACACACCGTAGCAACAAGTCATAATAAATATTTGATCTTTGCAGGAGAGTGTTGTCTACATTGATAATTATGAAGTCATTCGATCTAGAAACGAGATTTCTTTACAAAAAGCTGTATCAAGTCAGCCTATTAGTGTTTCAATCAAATCTAATAGTACAGACTTTATATTTCACAAAAAGGTAAGTGACTCATTGTGCTGTAAACTTGTTTTGGTAAAGTCAAATAATACTTTTAAATTCTTAATGATTTATTGATTTCCACATGGTAAATATGTTTAGGTGACCTACATAGTTACATCATCCCATACATTTGGAAAATTAAATCATACCTGCAGAAGTATGACAATAGTTTAGGGAATTTAAGATCATCACCTGAAATTTAGAAGCATATAAATTGATTGGTATGCATTTCTCATTTAGACATTTAGAAGGTCTTATGTTGTTACCTAATGGAGTATAATAATTGTAGTAGTTTAATGAGAACTAGGTTAACCATAGAATAATCACTAGAAGCTAGTGGAAAATGGATGTGGGGTATGCTTCATTTAATCGAATGCAAATAAGTTCTCACAAATGTATGTTGTTTTGAGCAAATATTATTACGCAATGGTATTTGTTTTTCTGGTTTGAGTCTTTTGTAAAGAAGCCATCAAATAGTAAGCACACAATGAAAATTCCCATAAGTTTGTTGCATTTTTTTTAAGATTTTACTATTATACATCATGTACCTCAACTCATCTACTTCACTGTCTCAACAATCAATCTAACACTGGATTCTAGATCATTAATCAATAGACAAAATTGTTGGATCACATTTAATCGCACATGATTTGTGTGCAAACCTTATCATAATAAACAATTTTGGTCATATAGTAAGAAAAGCAAGCATAAAGAAGCCAAACATGAAAAATCTACACAGACAAACATTCAATTTAAATGGTTTCTTGGATCTTATGCCATACGTATTAAAACAATTGCAACTGTAACCGTTTCATATCTTCTAGGGTGTTTTCTCTGGAAGATGCGGGCAAAAATTGGATCACGGGGTTCTCGTCGTGGGATATGGCCGCGAGGACGGAAAGGATTATTGGCTTATTAAGAATTCTTGGAGCACATTCTGGTCAGAAAATGGATACGGCAAAATCGAACGCAATATAAATGCGCCGTTCGGGAAATGTGGTATTGCAATGAATCCGTCCTATCCAGTAATAGACAAGCCTTACCGTCTCTATGGGCAGTCTTCAAAGACCATACAGAAGATGCCTCTGGCGGGCGCATAGACCAAAGTCAAAGCCTATGACCACATTATGAGAAGCTCATGGTTTGTAAGTTGACTTTTTTGTGGGTGCTTTCTGTTATGAATAAAAAGAAATGATGTGGGTCTCACTCAGCCTGCGCGGTAAGAAACTTGTGGGTGGAATCAATCACTCAATCAAGGAGGAGGCAGCGGGGCCATGAACTCCCTAGACTGCTTCCTACATACTTTACACCACCTCGAAAGGTTGCCACGAATAGAAACGAAAATAGATGAGCTCTCTCTCTCCCCCTCTCTCCCCCTCCCTCCCTCTCTCCCTCCCTCTCTCTCTCTCTCTCTCTCTCTCTCTCTCTCTCTCTCTCTCTCTCTCTCTCTCTCTCCTTCCCTCCCTTCCCTCTCTCTCTCTCGCCCAGTATACATGCAGTTCCCCCTCCCACACACCTCGATAGGGGATTATTTCACGAAAGACACATTTGGCCAGTCCCAAGGTTAGCGTTTTGGGTAAAAAACCCACGCTGTCCCCGGGTGGGACCTCCGTGGATGAATGGACGGTCACCCCGACATCCGGGCCCGCTCTGGAAGGTCGTAGGTAACCGTACCTGGCGGTGGGGGGAAGCTAAATATTCACCCCGGGGGCCCACTTGACGACAAGATCCGCTCCGGTTCGGTCCGGCTTTTGGTGGTCCAACCGCTCAGCTGGATCCTCGCTGAATCTCTGCGGCCGCTGGTGGACGTCCAATGAAAAGGGACAAGAGACGAGTGGGCCTAGAAGTGGCCCACCATGTGACACTAAAAGATTCTCTAGAGGGATTAAGAAGAGAGAGAGAGAGAGAGAGAGAGAGAGACGTCAGTACTTGGGTGTGGGTATCCCATTCTCTTTCCTTTCCTCGGAGTTCAAGATCATGTTCTATAGAGAGAGAGAGAGTGTGGGTGTTTGTGTGCTTGGCAACACAAGTGCCCTTCTCTTCTAATGGGAATAAATAAATCTAGAGAGAGAGGGAATACAATTATATAAAGCAAGCCCATAACTCCACCAAATGCTCGTTCTCTCTTAGCTTTCCTAGGAGAGAAAGATAACTAGTTCCATTGCACAATGGGGAGTGAGAGAGACCCACAACGGGGTGGCAGAAGTCCCTCTCACTACTCCATTGCATCAACTTTCTAGTGGTATACATTGCCCACTAGTTAAAGCGAGTAGCTAGATGATCCAACTATTCGCCAACGAGACCTGGACGGATTCTCTCTCTAGATACAGACTATGAGTTCATGCAGATTCCTGAGACTCGCCAGCTCTCTCACTAGCGCTTCATGTGAGGAATCTTAGTGCCAAAACCTAGAGAGAGAGTGAGAGATAGAGTAGCGAGGGCACTGATAAGGAGCTGAAGAAGACGACATATTTATCAGAATTCCAGATCCTCCAACCCCCCCACCATATGTGGGGTTAGAGCTAAGGTGCCCCATTGCTATCCTCAAGAGCCATCTCTCTCTCTCTCTCTCTCCCTCCCTCTCTCTCTCTCTCTCTCTCTCTCTCTTTCTCTCTCTCTCTCTCTCCCTCCCTCCCTCTCTCTCTCTCTCTCTCCCTCCCTCCTCTCTCTCTCTCTCTCTCCCTCCCTCCTCTCTCTCTCTCTCTCTCCCTCCCTCTCTCTCTCTCTCTCTCTCTCTCTCTCTCCTCTCTCTCTCTCTCTCTCTCTCTCTCTCTCTCTCTCTCCCTCCCTCTCTCTCTCTCTCTCTCTCTCTCTCTACAAAGACTACCCATGTTATGTGGAAGACGTAGCCTCGCACATCAGGCCGGACAGGAATAAATTATGTGATCTCATAATATTCTAAATAAATAAAACTACGAGCGAACATACCAACAGAGAACTTGTTTTTTCCGACCTTCGAGGACTACGCCGCCATCGCATCTCAGATCGCCTACGGGGACCACTTCCCACAATACCCCTATCATAACCGTTAATGACATCATCACCTGCATCGTTGCTGGAGGGCATAATCGGTATATATGGACCTGAGGGAATCCGAATCCACCGATAACAGTAAGACGAGATCCCCTCGGTGGGAGAATCTCGTTCCCGTGGGCCCCATATTCAGATCATTGGGGCCCACATCCAAGCTCCACGTGCCAGGAGATCTACGGCGGACGCCGAAGTGGAATCTCCGTTTCCCAGCGGAATTTAACTAGATGCTTCAGATCCGTCCCCAATGGTCAATATAAGACCATGCAGACCACGCAGTAGCTCTCCACGGACCTTCCACCCTCCTCCTCCCCCTCCCCCTCCCTCCTCCTCCTCCTCCTCCGCCATTGCAGAGAGAGAGAGGAAGAGAGAGAGAGAGAGGGGAAAGAAGGATGTGCGGAGGAAACGTGATTGTGGAGAGGGGGTGGGCGATAGCGGTGCATGGCGGCGCTGGCGTTGATCCGGAACTGCCGCCGGAGAGGCAGGAGCAAGCGAAGCAGGTTCTCCGGCGGTGCCTGCAGCTGGGTAGCTCCGCCCTCCGCGCCGGCGGCGCCGCCATCGACGTGGTGGAGCTCGTGGTGAGAGAGCTGGAGACGGACCCCACGTTCAACTCCGGGAGGGGGTCGGCGTTGACCAGCAAGGGGACGGTGGAGATGGAGGCGAGCATCATGGACGGCCCGCGGCGGCGCTGCGGCGCCGTTTCCGGGTTGACCACGGTGAAGAACCCCATCTCCCTCGCCAGGCTGGTCATGGACCGCTCTCCTCACTCCTACCTCGCCTTCGACGGCGCCGAAGAGTTTGCTCGCGAGCAGGTAACCGAAACCCCCCCGGAGAGAGAGAAAGAGAGAGCAGGACTACGAGATTCTATTAAGTTATTAAGTAGAGAGAGTGAGAGACGGAATCTGAGATTCTAGGAAGTTTGGGAAACATGAAAACGAAATCTGCAGCCAGGTTTGACTCTTGTCTGGGAAGGAGCATGTGGGTCGTCGGCCTTCCTGTCGGCACCAAGATTCCGACAACGATTTTCACCAATATCTTCTCTATTACGTCATATTTACATAGGGAAGAGAGAGAGGAGAGGGGGGGGGGTATCTAGGGTAGCCAGGTGATGTGGAGTCGCTCGTGACGTAGGTGGGGGGAGAGAGAGAGAGAGAGAAAGAGAGGAAGATGTTAAGATTTATTTACTGATGTGAAGTGCTTGCTGGGCAGGGAGTGGAGGTCGTGGAGAACGACTATTTCATCACCGAGGAGAACGTCGGCATGCTGAAGCTGGCCAAGGAAGCCAACACCATCCTGGTACTCACTCTCTCTCTCTCTGGTCGACTAGTTTCAAGCGTAATACCGTGGCTGATCACTGGTTGTGTGCATCAATCAGTTCGACTACAGGGTCCCGCTGGCGGAGACCTGCAGCAAGGCCGCAGCGGCGGCGGCGGCGGAGGACGGCGGCGGCCTGCAGATGATGAACGGGCTGCCGCTGAGCGTCTACGCCCAGGAGACGGTGGGCTGCGTCGTGGTGGATAGCCAGGGCCGCTGCGCCGCCGCCACCTCCACCGGCGGCCTCATGAATAAGAAATCCGGCAGAATCGGCGACTCGCCGATAATCGGCGCCGGCACCTACGCTTGCGGTGCCTGCGCCGTCTCCTGCACCGGGGAGGGGGAGGCCATCCTGCGCGGAACCCTAGCGAGGGACGTGGCGGCGCTGATGGAGTACAAGGGTCTGTCACTGCAGGAGGCGGTGGACTTCGTGATCAAGGAAAGGCTCGACGAAGGCATGGCCGGCCTCATCGCCGTTTCCGGCACAGGCGACGTCGCCTACGGATTCAACTGCACCGGCATGTTCAGGGGCTGCGCCTCCTCCGACGGCTTCCTCGATGTGGGCATCTGGAATTGACCGCACTAATCTCCGTGTGAATTATCATATGTAGAGCTCTCTCTCTCTCTCTCTCCCTCCCTCCCTCTAGATTATGCTTGATCTTGTTTTAATAAGAGACTGATGGGAGGGGCTGACCCTCCCAGTCCTCTGCTTTCACGCTGTTGGACGTTCTCCCTCATTTCCTGGTCTTTAAAAACGTCACGTATTGCCGAGCGTGGGCAGAGATGGATAGAAACTTTCAGTTCGAGTGTATCAGAGAGAAAAAATATAGCCATGCAAGAGTGGAGTGAGAGATAAGATCTTTCTTTTTTAACAGAGATAAAGAGAGGAGTGAAGAGAAGAACTAAATATCTTTCATTCAAAGGGAGAGAGAGAGAGCGAGAGAGGGAGACACAGACAGACAGAGAGTCAGAGAGGGAGAGGGAATAGAAATATTTAATGAGAGAGGGAGTGTGCGTCGTCATCTGATGAGAGAGGAAATACCTTTCAGTGAGAGAGAGAGATAAAGACGCTGAGACTGGGCATCTTCCGTTCAAAGCCGAGAGAGAGAGATTCATTGTTTAATGAAATCTAACACTGTAATAACTAGAGCACAGCTCCATGCCGTCGCCGAAGAAGACGGGCTCAAGAGAGGAGCGAAAGATGGTACCTTTCTTCTAACAGAGATAAAAGAGAGGAGTGAAAAGTACTAAATATATTTCATGCAAGGGAGAGAGAGAGCGATAAAGGGGGAGACAGACAGGCAGAGAGGGAGAGATAAAATATATATATTTAATGAGAGTGGGAGTGAGAGTCGTCATTGGAAGAGAGGAAATACCTTTCAGTGAAAGATAGAGAGATAAAGACACTGAGACTGAGCATCTTCCTTTCAAAGTAGAGATAGAGAGAGACACACACACACAGACAGACAGAGAGAGATTCATTGTTTAAAGAACTCAAACACTGTAATAACCGGAGCACAGCCCCACCCACCGTCGCCGGCGAAGACGGGCTCCCCCGTGAGATTCTTCTGCGGTTGCGCCAGTCCACTCGAGAGTGTCATAGTCCACGAAAGCCACCTGGCTGACGGCAGCGAGTGGCTGGTCAGAAACACACCCGCCCCCCCGCGCAGCCGCCACTCGTTTCTGGTGGCGCCGCCATTCCGGAATGGAAATCCGATGGCTCGTGGCGGCCACGATGGTGAAAGACGGAGATGTCTGGCGGGCGGGGGCTGGGCCCGGCGCCCATCTCTGTCCGTAGATCATCTCGCCTGCCAGTTAGATTCGCTGGGGCCCACAACTGGATTCTAAATTTGGTTCCTCGAGCCACGGAGCTGGAACATTATGATAATTTCTTTTGAAAATTATTTACCTTGTTTTATAATCAAACTAAAATTATAATTTTCCAAATACCATTATTATTAAATGAAATCCTCCTTTCATGGCAACATCCCACATAAATTAATTATATTTTTGCAGCTCTGAAACATCACATCACCATTTCACAATGTTTAGATACCCCAACATACAACTCATCGTGTCATCATCATATTAAGCTACATAAATTTCAATATATTTAGATGTAGATTTATTAAATGTAAGCTTTATTTTTTGAGGATTAAATGCATGAAAAATACATAAAATAAAATTATATCGATATTTTTCACACAATGTTAGTTGATTAATAATTATATATTTACATATATCAACATTGATTGGCAGTGAGTAAAGTAGTGCTATCAGTTTGAGGTAAATATGGTGTAGTATTGTCATTGAAATTGAAATTTTATATTACTATTAATAGAATAGTCTCACAATATTAAAAAATTGCGCTAGTGATGTGAGAGTATTCTGCTTTTCGCTCCAAGAACCTGGGTTGCTCCAAAAGTGCTATTTGCCCCAAGACAAGTTTGTCTCAATTCCTGAGTTGCCCCAAGAATCTGGGTGCCTTCTCCAAGACAAGCTTGACTCAATTCTAGACGGATGCTTGGTGGCGCAGTTTTCCTGTAAGTTCTTGCAGATGTACCCTTGGTTATCGGTTTCCATTACAATTTCAACAAAACATCTAATTTATAATACAAGGTAGATTCCTTTTGGGTTTTTACATAAATGCGAATTGTCAAAACCATTAGGGACCCAGCATCGTCATTGACTCTATGGAGCCCCGATGAAGCCGCCGGCGGTCAAATCAGGGCTTTGTTTTGTTTGATTATGAATGCATATTTCTTACTTCTTTAGGGGAAAAAAGTAGTAGACCGATGTTAAGGATTCCAACGGTCAAATACACACGAGAATAGTGACCTGTGCCAGTGGACCAGCCTCACCAGACAAAAACAGCACGTTTTGTTGACCGATGATTTTTTCCTCATTAAATAATTACAGACAGCTGATAATAACTCTCTCATCCACATAATAATAATAATAATAATAATAATAATAACAGTCCAATTTGACTCTTCCTCCTTAGGCCATTGGACGGCATAATTCATCATTAGTCCCTTTTCTTTTATTCTTTTACGTCTTATGGTCGCTCTGAATCAGACCAAATGGCCCTGGGGTGGACGTGGGATGCTCTGGAAAGAGAGTATATATGCAAATAAAACTCTTTCTGAGTCCTAGTCGTAAAACGCTTTCCTCATCACGGTGGCCGGAGAATGGGCGGCGGCGGGAGAGACTCTCTTTTCAGTGATGATTCTTCTCTGTGGTGGTCCTCGGAGAGCGGAGGACCGAAGAAGGGCAGCCGCCGCAACGGACGAATCGCCGCCAGAGCGCCGCCCAGCTGCCAAAAGACCAAGTAGATTCTCTCTGCCGTCATCAGTGACTGTCTCATCATGAATCTGGCTTAATCTGCAAGACGGAGTAGACAGATGCCGACCATGAAAGAAGATGCGGTGCAAAATTAAGGGTTTCTGATAAGGGCATCAGGGAAGAGCCAATCACAGAGAAGGCGGAGGAATGGATGACGATAAGACATGGAAGAGGGAATCTCAAGAAACGAAAAGGAAGATTCCCAGCATCTGAATGAGGCTAACCTGATGGGAACATGGTGAGGACATGCACACAAAAAGATCTTCAACACAAGATCTGTGTGTGTGCGCCTCTTTCTCTCTCTATCTCAATCTCTCTCCTCACAGTGAGGACATGAATATGAAACAATATTCATTGAATTCTATTCATAAGGTTCATACTTGTAAAGGGATGACTCATGAATGGTGATCCTTGCTTCTATTGACGAGATATTCGGCAAACTATTCCATCTAATTTTCATGGGTCACTGTATTTTTTTTTTCTTCTCACTAATTCATCATCCATCAAAGGTTCCCCTCTGCGTTGAACCACACAGCAGCACAAGGTCGAAATAAGTTCAATCAGGTCCTAGGAAACCATACAGAAAAAATTAAAAAAAGGCTTTAAAATTGATTAATGATTTAGTATGAGTAACAAAAGTGCTATCAATAGAAGCCCAAAAAAAATAAAGAAAAAAAAACAGATCATACGCACTGGCACAGGATCGTAGATTGTGTAGAAGATCATGCACCCCACTTGTCCATAGATTCTTGGCTTGAAATGTTTTTATATGCTTATAATCATGCAAATAAATCCATCCCACTGCCTACTATACTGTGCGTGAGAAGGCCTGAAAGTCATCTTACACAGGATAATCTGCTGAAACAAAACCATACTCGAAATAATGCATAGATTCATTTGATTAAATAGACGATTAATTATAGTTTCATTCAAGCTCATAAGGCCAACTATATTATTATTTGTCTCACAGATGGATTATACAGCTTACCAAATAAAAGTATTGCAAAATATACACGGTGGGATGCACCAGGGAGTTCTTACGCCACCAGGGAGTTCTCCGAACCCCTGGTTACTACTTAATGAGGATGCACCTGATTGGAGACCCTTCAGCCCCTAGCAACCTAAGAGGTAGGCAATGAACTGAGTAAATCCCCAGCTTTACGTCTCCGAGCTTTAGACCCTCCACGATGATGATGTCCTGAATGGCTCCAACACCATGGTCAACGGCTTTAAAAGAAATAATTATATAACCATGCAAAGCAAGATTCTAGTTTACAAGTAGAACTAAGAGCAGAAACATGCAGTTTAAATGAAGAACCAGGACCCACTCGAAACCAGAGCACATCCCGCATGGGGAGCAGGTAGGGCCCACTATTGATCTTGATTATGAGGCTAACCAGTATGCTTTCAAGTATTTAAGAAAACAAATTGTGAAGATCGATCTATTTGAAGTATATTTATGGGAAAAGAGTAGTGAGTATCATCAGGAAGTTCCTGATATGGTGAAAGCTTCAGGGTTTCTGAAGCCATCCTCGCCGTCATTAAAGTTTTTCCTTGGCTAATCAATCACTCAGCTTAACATCCAGATGTGCCCGAACGTTAATGAACTTCACTGATCCAAGTTTCTTGATAGCTGAACCGCATCCAACAGATAGCATTTATGAAATACTGAATCATATGGTTGATGAGAGGAAAGATATTGTTGACTTATAACGAGCCTGACTGAATGAAGGAGAGCGATGCCTTTGAAGAATCTCCCGCCTACATTCAACGATGATAACCAAGTTTGACTTACTAGAGTCCCATTGTCGAAACTTTGCTGCCCACTAACAAAGTGATGAGAATTTTCAGATAAATGCGGAGGTTTGTTTTCCACTTCCTATTTTTCCCGTTTGCGCAGTAATCAGATACCATCTCTTTCTGCCTGGTTCAGAAGCAATCAGAAGAAAAGAAATGGGAGAATCTAAATAATTATAATTAATTGTGAAAAGCCAATTTTTCCCACTTCTCTCCGCCTTGAATTGTCTCCAAGGTCCTCTTTAGCACTAAACCTGTCACAGCCAATCCACTACTTTCCTCTCCCAAGTTTTATCAATCACCAGGAGATCATCCAGAAAAAGAAATTTCCCTTATTTTTGAAATCCATTGTGTTGTTCCAAACCGCCTGGGCAAGCAGATAATGGCCCTCATGTAGCATCCAAAAAATTTGTTTAACGAAAGAGTGACGGCCCAGATGATGTCACAAAAATAATATATAAAATAGGAAACTAAATATACTGAAAATGCAGTTTAAATTCCAGAGGAATTTAGAAGAACTCAAAACTACAAAGTCGAGTATTAACAGGAATCTTTTTCTTACCCTGTTTTCAAGCAGAGCGAGATGAGAAGTGATCAAATCGTCATAAGTAGCAACTGATAAGTAATCAATTCCTACGACCAACATGACAAAAGAAGGAAGTAATCAGGGAAGACATCATCAGTAAAATTGAGAAGAGAAGACGTGAAATCACATGGGTACATGAAATCTCAGACCTATGGGATGGCATAATATCACATTAGCTACCAAGCTGGTGTAAAACTAGGATACGAAATCATAAATCACACCATGCTGGCTATACGAAGAAACTAGTTGTGCAAATCCCATGGAAATCCTTCCGAAATATAAAATGAAACGGTTACTATGCCAAGTTATTTCCAGTGATATAACAACCAGCATACACCTAGGAATTATCTATCAGCAGTTTCAATGCGGATTAATTGATAAATACCTCTAAAACATAGTGTAATACTTTAAGTTATAAGATCTAGAAAGGAAAAACAGTGAAATAAACATAGCCCAGTTCTTTCTCACCAATAAGTTTAATGTCAGTGTTGTCCACCAGCCATTTTGCACCGTCCTCTGTGAATCCAGTGTAAGTTGAATCAAACTCCTTCTTCAACATAAGTTTCCTGAAAAAAAAATATGTTTACGCAGATGACAAGTGCAAAGATGAAACGATAGCTAATTCAGAACAAGGGCAACAATTTTTTATGCGATTTCATCCATCCTGTTCCAGATTACCAGATAGTAAAAGCAAGACAATGAGACATCTCATGCATTCATATGAGAGTACCATGAAATCGTCGCATGAATTTGTAGGACCCCCGGGTACTATTGGGCTGCTGGGCCGTGTATTCTCTCGAAAGAGAAAGTGACAGCAGGCCCAGTTACTTCCAAAAGGCTGTCACTCTCTCTCCCCCTCGTAACGCTAGGTAGCCATATATAGCAAGGGTCAGGAGGGGAAAGGTTGGGTTTTATTTTGTTTGAACAGGGTACAACTGCGGCGTCCTAAGGACCACTCGAGGAGTGTGGACAAGCTCCTGCCACAGCCGGGAAATTGCTTATTCTATCATTTTCATTTCTTCTATAACTCGTATTCTTGCTGTGTTTCTGTCCACCAGCTGCAGGGTCCCCACAAACTGGTATCAAAGCTATGCCTCGGGAAGAAGGAAGCTTGAAAAACCCTTCTCAGTGCTTGGATGCCATGGAGATGGAAATGGCAGCCATAAAAGGGCACATGGGGCAGATGGAGTGCAATGTCGCCCACCTCCTGGGTCAGCTAGCACAACGACTCAAGAGCTTGGAACTCCGACCATTGCCGCAGATGGAGGAGAATGAGGGTTCACCTACGACCTCCTTCCGCATGTGTGACACTATGGAGGAACCGAAATCCTCAGCAGGGCGAAATCGGTGAGAAACTATAGAACCGAGGGATGTCACCTATAACTGACGAGTGGCTACTCATCTTGACATCCCAGTCTTCACTGGGGACTACTCAGCTGGGTGAATATTCCAAGTAGAGCTCTTCTTCAAGCTGACCAATACTCTAGAGCACAACCACGTCCAATATGCAGTGACGAGGTTTGGGGGTGACACATTGGGCTGGTACATGTGGGGCTGGGACATGTGGGTCGGAGCTCACCATCCTTTCCGAAACTGGCAAGACATGAAGAACCAGCTACTTCAATGATTTAGGGCTGTCCAAGGCAATAGTCTCTACCAAAAATCTTTGAAGCTAACACAAAAAGGGATCATAGCTGAATTTCGAAGAGATTATGTGGTGTTGTCAGCATTTCTCCCTAAGCTACCAGAAGTAGTCATGGAAAATACCTTTATAGGCAGGCTGAAGCTGGAAATCTTAACCGAGATTAACATGTTCAACCAACAAGCTTGATGGAGGTAATGAACATGGCGCAGAGGGGGGTGGGAGCAACTCAGCAAGCTATGGAGCACAAAAGAAGGAGGGAACCTGAAGACATCACCATGGAGTGCCCAAGGAACCAAATTCCGACATGCTGGACAGCCCATTCTGAGTATGCCATCGCCCATTGCCACCGTGACTCACCAACCAACAAGTTACAATTATAGTGCTAAAGGGGCCACCAAACAATCGTGGGAATTCAAGTCGCAAGGAAGAAAGATCAAACTTGTTGATGGGGAGCTAGAAGAACAAAAACCAAAGGGGCTCTATTTCCACTGGGACAAGAGGCCCCAAGACACCGTTGTAGGAAGGAGCTAAGGATTCTAATTATCAGCAACGTTGATTCGAACAATGATGAGGAAGAAATCAGTCAAGAGTCGCAGGTGTCCCTAGGGGCCACCAAGGAAATCCCCACAGGGACAACTGAGGTCTCCCTCAACTCAATAACAAGCCGAGCAACCCTTAAGATGCTGAAGCTCAAAGGAACCCTAAGGACACAGACCATCACAATACTCATCGATTCTAGGGCGACTCATCAAGTCGCACAAAGGTATGAAATTGTGCTTGGTGATGGAATGTCTACTGGTGGGAGCAGCATCTACATGAGAGTCACCTTCGAAGTCCAACGTTATAAAAATTACATAAGGTTTTCTCCCTCTCAAACTACACAACCAAAATATTATCGTTGATATTCAATGGTTGCGCACAGTCAGCTGCATTTAGGAGCTTATTTAGCTGTTAAATCCAATTATTTTTCCTAGCGCCTCCGCTCATTTATCACTATTCCTCTTCTTCTTATTTTATTGTTGCGAAAGAATATCTTAATGAGGAAAGATATACCAAGATCCATTAGGGGCTACTGATCATGCAGTTCAAACTCAACAACAAAAAGTTCACGTTGCAAGGAGTCACTCAGCAGTTTAGGTTTGTTCTTAAAATTCATACTACCAGATGGTATTACCCACCTAACCCCACTCTAAAACTACCTATAGGTGGAAGGGGTTGAGTAATTGATGTGAGATAGATCCAGAAAAAAGGGGGCAATGGTGGAATAGGAACCCAAGTTGGAGTTTATCATCACAGCAGTTGATCAATGAACAGAACAATAGGACAGTAGCAATCTAGCAGTCAACGATGACGTCAACAACTGAAGAGGAACAAGAACCAAAGCTGAAACCTACCATCACAGCAACTGACCAGCGAACAGAACAGCATGACAACAGCAGTCCAGCCTTAGAGACAACAACAAAGACATCTTGCATCCATATGGAACAAATCAAGTCTGAATTTCCACAAGTCTTCACCCCAATCAGCTCACTCCCCCCTCCGCGTGAGGTTGAGCATGTCATTCACCTCTTAGAGGGGGCACAATCAGTCAATGTTCAGCCCTTCCAATACCCTCACGTGTAGAAAGATGCAATAGAGATTTTGGTACAGAAAATGATGAACCAAGGACTCATTCAGTTCTCAACGAGCCCTTTCTCTAGTCCAGCTCTCATGGTACGTAAAAAGGACCATAGTTAGAGATTATGTGTTGAGTACAGGGCTCTAAACCAGGTCACTGTAGTAGATGACTTCCTTATCCCAACGGTCGACAAATTCTTCAATGCCTCTACACCAATTCTCAGTGGATGGGAATCTCAGATAATAATAAAGGAGTCTAAGAGCATATTGTCAACATTGGACTTCTACCTTAGACATGTAGCATGGGTGACATTCGCACACAACTTCATGGAGAGGGATGAAAAGGGGGCAGTTGGTTGGCACGATGGCAGTAGACAAGATCTATGTGAAACTGTTCCTGGCATGCAGGGATGGATCATGAAGTCTCAGTGGCTGTGCCGATGGACAACAAGACTAGTGCCAGCACATGTCATGCCTCCCTAAATCCAAGCAATAGAAAGGAGAGGTTGCGTCACCAAGAAGACCTTACCTCGTTGCAGTTCTTAGGGATGGTGATGATGATGATGATATATCTCAAAACATGTATGACGTTGTGGAAATCAGGGTGTGCTCATATCATTCCATCACTCCATCTGGAATGGTTTACTAGACATAAGTTTTAAAGGCTAAGCATTGGAAGATACATCCATAGAACTTTTGAATGATCTGTAGGCATGTTGGACTCGACATATTTCCTTCTGGTGTCACTCAATAAAAAATTTAGATGAGAGATACGACAAAAAAAACAGAAGTCAAATGGGTACTCCTGAATTAGATCAATAACATGAATCAACAATAAGTGAATGAGAAGCTGATTATAAAAAACGTGTTAAAAATCCCAATGAAGAAAATTAAACATTTTCTGTCCTGTGACAACAACCAGTTACATGATTTCAGAACAGTGATAATAGAATTGAAGCAGCAATCCAGGAAAACTACATACTAAGGAAAAAATAGCTATAAGTAAATGCCACATAACCTTGCCTTAAATGGGTTTAATGCATTCACATTTGCGAAAAATCATAACAAATGTATAATCTCAAAGAATATCATTAAAATTAACAACAACAAAAAAGTAACTAGCATAGAACCACGAAAAAAATAAAAGCTTTAGTATAATTTAAAAAGTAGAGAAATTCTGTGTGCCTACCATGTTACCACAGGTGGTAGATCAATGCAGCAAATCGTAAGAAATACCTGTCAGTGTTTAATGTCCTGAAAAGCACACGTGTTATACCCTTGGGTATATGCAGAAACTCCATAACTTCAGCTGCACAATAGAGGCTATCATCAGCCAGTAGATTCCAATGAACAAACTAAAATTAGTTTCATCACTCTAGCGAAAACTATATTTGTTCAGCATCACAGGTCCCTAAAAAATGAAATTTCGTTTTGCATCAAGTGATTTAAATCACTCTCCCAGTAACTTTGAACTGGAATTCTTGTTGACCGTTAAATACAAATACATTATAGAATTCTGAAACACAATGTACCAGAAAAGATATCAAATATATCCTCTTCTATAACTTCCAAAAAAATGCCAAGTTCTGTCAATATTACACTTTGTTCTCTTGACTAATATAGCAAAAGAAGGACGGGTCTACCAAGTCAACGGGCTTACCAGTAATGTTTTTATCTCTCGGAACATCCACTAACAAGGCTGGACCTGTTAAAATATCAAAAATTCAATGAGGGCTATAGATAAATCAGTCCGTTTACAGAGTAAGCGGTACTTTTTTTGTGCGATTATTAAACCTATACACTTTACATTGGCTTTTAGTGTTTTGAAACAAAGAAAATACGGCATTTGTTATGGGTGAGGACTTGACTGAAAGGAGACACATTACTTTGACCATCAGCTATTGAACGTACAAAGATTTAATAATCATACTCATTCATATAAAATCAACAGATGCGTAAAGCACAAAAATAACATCAAATTTTATTTAAAGTGAAAATATGCCCCAGAAAAATAACAACAATAACATCAAATTTTAAAAGAAATTTATGACATAAAGAAGAGAAGTCCGTAGCTATCTAATCCAGAACAATCTAGAGAAGTCCCTCCCTCCCTATACACTTTGTCCCCCTACACATCAGTTCCCATCTCAAGGATCAAGTCCCGAAACTTAGCAAAATAAACAGCTAACAGAAGCCTCAAGTCTAACCAATAGAAGAAAGCCAGCCTCCAGATTAACTGTGCCTTCAGATAAATGCAAAGGCAACAGAATGCATCAGAAACTTCTTCCTCTGCACCTGATGAAGAGCGACTAAGTTTACACCAAGCAAAATGTTGTTAAGGAGAGTATAACAGAATCCTTCATGGATTGTGCCTAGAAAATCAAATCACACCTGATGAACAATATCTGCCATTTGTACGATGATAAAAACCAACTGCAATTCAGATAGTCGATTATTATGTTCACCATGACCAATCCATACTGCATATGGAATGTGCCTCAAAAAAATTCATCGTGGAAACCCACCTAATTTTATTTCGTCCATGTAAAAGAAAAACTAATCAAGCAGAAGTTTCATATTTATTGCACATGGATCAACGGAAGAAGGGGAACACATGAAATGTATTCTAAATAGCTACCGCACACCATCACATACGTGACTCGAAAGAACGGTCATTTTACCATTTGGATATAAAATCGGAGAAAAAAGACAACAACGGTCCCTTCTATATATGTGTATATATATACATGGGGAAGGAGGGAGGGGGAGGAGATCGCCGTCCCTGCCAGCGTAAAAAGTGGAGGAAAAACAACGACAATAGACAATAAAAGATGTTAATGGTGGCCTGAACTGGTGGCCATCAAACAGCAGAACAACAGGCAGATTGGAAGGACGGCGAGGCAGGATTTGGTAGCCTTACCGTTGAGGACTGAGAGATCGAGGGTGTCGACATCGTAACCGGCCTCAAAGTAATGCTGGAAGAAGTGTCCGGGGGCGTCGACGTGGGTGCCCGTGTGGACGTGAAGCTTCACAACAGAGCCGTTCGCCTTCGACCCATTCTTCATACTCTCGGGGAGCCACAGGAACTGCCCCACCCCCTCATCGGATTCAAACGACGGCATGCTCTCGTGAAACCGGTGGCTGATGTCGATGATCCTCCCTCCATCGTAGACCTCCCTTCTCTCCGGAGCTGCCACCTCGCCAGCGGCGAGGCTGCAAAACTGGGTGGCGCCGTCGTAGGAAGGATGCGCCGACGACGCCGCGGAGGAGCTCGGCAGAGGGAGCAGGGAGAAGAGGAGGATGAGGACAGCCATGACAGACGTCAAGCAGTGCGGGCCAGTTCCCCCCGCCTTTTTTGATGGTCATCTTATTGGACATCTGAAACCGAGAATAAGCCCGATAAAGAACCCGATTATTCAACTTATCAGATCATAGTTGTTCGAAATTGGGTCGAATCCTGACCTGTTATTAGCCATACTGTTGAAGTTCGATCCGACTTTGCCTGTGGGGCCCACTGGCTGACGTGGAACTCTTGCGATTCGTACGGTTAACTAACCAATCCAACGGCTAGAAATCGACGATTGGCTCGACCGATAAGTGTACCAGATTTATCCGTCTTATCAGATCGTTTGTTGCCTGCTAGTGGGTCAAATCCCAGTCAAATCCAGACCCGTTATCAACCACAGTACTGAGTTGGATCCGATCAGTCTGTGGGGCCCACTAAAGGCAGATCTGTCCGTAGAGCTTTAATTTCCACGTTTTTAAGAAGACGATCCAACGGCCAGAAATTGATGACTTGGCCTGACCGTTGAGTAGGCTTTGGCGGGGGGAGCACCGCGACTATCCAGTGGTGCCCACTGGAGAGGAGGACGTCCGGCGGCGGCGATCTTCCCCCGCGGCGACAACGACGGCGACGGCGTCGCCGGAGGAGCGAACGTGGAGGGAGATGGCGTTTCTGAGTGGTCTTCGGTAAGGGTGGGGGGTGGGATGGGAGGATTGTCGGAAGGCCAGGAGGAGGAGGGCATCCGGCTGACGGTGGCGGAGACGCGGTGGGTGGACGGAAGCGAGGTGGATTCGGCGTCGCCACCGTCGTATCTCGTCGGAGATGGAGAGGAGGATTCGGATCTCTGGGAGAGAAGCGAAGGGGAGAGGATGCCCCTACGAAGGCGGCTCATCAGGAAGGTTAAGAGAGCTGACTCGTTCGACAAGGAGGCGATGGGCATAGGCGACGATCACAAGTACCGACAGAAGGTTTGATGGTTAATTTGAAGTCTGAGAGCTTGCTTCCTGTCCCGCATGCCGAATTTTCGACGTTGCCCAAGTGTTTTTAGGTTCGACTGATCGTATAAGGCTTTAGGCATCCAAATCCTTGGGTAATTTTTCTTCTTGCAGATTTCTCAGAGGAAGATTTTAGATCCGTCTCAACCGGTCTTATTTTTCCATAAGTTTATGTACATTCCATTATGGTTTATTTTTTCTTGATTTGCATTCTTCAACTGGAAATTTAATGACAGATTTTTATGACATATTGACTGCAAAATTTACTCATATATTTAAAAAAATGGAATCAGGGAAATTTTGGTCTTCTGAATTTTATTTATTTATTGAGATCTTCAATTTCTGCATTGAAAGATATATAATATCAAATTATAATATAGGGTTCGCTACAGGCTTATTTTTTCTCATTTCACTGTGGGTTTCTCCTTGTTAAGAATATATATTTTTAGGCAGGAACTCCCATACCCATTTACATAAAAGGAGACGGAGAACATGAAATCGATACTCGTGTGAACATTTTTCTCTACTTCATTTTATTTTATTAAAGTATATCTATATTCACTTCATCTGGGCTTTAATGGTGGATTTTTTGTGCTGAGATGTCACAGATCGTGCCAAATATTCTGATAATGACAGACGTATCAAAACTGAATGACACTTTGCACTCTTTTATTTATCAACATTCGTAGTTAAAATAAACTATAATCTTTCATGATCAGTTCCTTCTGTCTGTTCTTTAACATGAATAATGGGTCTCAGGATCTATCTGTCTGGGAGACGCTGGCCATGGCTTTTCAAACTCTTGGCGTGGTCTATGGAGATTTGGGCACAAGTCCTTTGTATGTCTTTGGCGATGTGTTCAGAAAGGTGCCAATAACCTCTGAAGTTGACGTTTTGGGTGCTCTATCACTGGTTATGTACACCATAGCCCTCATCCCCTTTGCCAAATATGTTCTTATAGTGCTTAAGGCTAATAACAATGGAGAAGGTATAGCTGCTGGGCTGCCCACTTGTTCTTACTTTGCCCATCCATCCACTTTTTCCTGAATATATTGAGATGGAGATGGGGAGAGAACATGCTTTAGATTCTAATCATCTTTCTTGATCGCAGGTGGTACATTTGCCTTGTATTCGCTGATATGCAGGTATGCTAACGTTCATCTGCTTCCTAATCGACAGAGAGCTGATGAGAATATCTCCAGCTTTCGGCTCAGGCTGCCCACACCAGAGCTAGAAAGGTCTCTGAACATAAAATCTATCCTAGAAAGAAGGTCTTCCTTGAAAACAGCCCTCCTGCTTTTGGTTCTCACGGGGACTTCCATGATCATTGGGGATGGTATTTTCACTCCGTCAATATCCGGTATTCCTTCACCTTTCCTCCTTGTCCTCTCTTTCTCTCTCTCTCTCTCTCTCTCTCTCCCTTCTCAGGGTTCTTCTTCCTCGTGGTGCTTGTTCTTGCTAGAATCCTCATTGATTATTTTCCCAATGCAGTAATGTCCGCCGTCAGTGGCCTGCAGGGTGCAGTTCCTGGGTTCTCGACAAGTAAGTAAAGCTCTCACCCAATCCTTCCGGCACCTCTCAGCATTCCCAATCCCACTGATTGCTCAATGAATCATTTATAGATTTCCATCCCGTTCTTTGCAACTTCAGATGAATAGTCTCTCTCATCCAGTGCCCCTAGCCGCCCCCCATGCACCTCAATTTCCCATATCTCTGCAAAATATGTGATGGGGTGTAAATTGTTTCCCGTTTCAAAAAAAATTCCGTTTATTTCCTTCAAAATGACCGCTGGATATTCCATCCCCAGATGCTCTTGTCCTGGTCTCTATCATAATTCTTGTGGGATTATTCAGCATCCAGAGGTTCGGAACCAGCAAAGTTGGCTTCATGTTCGCTCCACTCCTGGCTCTCTGGTTCCTCAGCTTGGGTTCCATTGGCGCATACAATTTGGTAAAATATGATATCCACGTTCTCAAGGCATTCAACCCCGCTTACATCTACCTCTTCTTCAAGAAAAACAGTAGGAAGGCGTGGTCCGCCCTTGGCGGCTGCGTCCTCTGCATCACAGGTACCATTCATGACATGCATGAAACTCGCCTATTTTTAGAAAAATATCCCAGAACGAGTAACAATGGATATATGGTTTCAGGGGCCGAGGCGATGTTTGCTGATCTTGGCCATTTCTCGGTGACATCCATACAGGTGATTCTCTTAGCTCCCTCCATTCTCGTCCTACGATGTGTCTAGCGAGAGGCACTAAAAATGACTCCTTTATGAGGTTTGACTTCGCTTTCCCGGCAGATTGGCTTCACCTGCGTAGTTTTTCCATGCCTTCTTCTGGCATATATGGGTCAAGCGGCATATTTGACGAAAAACCCAAATTCAGGAGAGAGAATTTTCTATGATTCTGTCCCAGGTGAACCCAAAGTTTTCCAGAAAGCTTAATCATATTTTTGTAATGATCCGAAGGATAGATATGTTTCCAATTGTCAATTTTTTTGATGGCTCATATGGAAATTTTGATGGGCAGAGGTCCTCTTCTGGCCAGTGTTCGTGGTGGCCACTCTGGCAGCCATGGTGGCCAGCCAGGCCATGATATCTGCGACATTCTCCTGCGTGAAGCAGGCCATGGCGCTCGGCTGCTTCCCAAGGCTTAACGTAGTCCATACCTCTCGGAGGCTGGTGGGCCAGGTGTATATACCAGTAATAAACTGGTTTCTGATGATTATGTGCATAGTTGTCGTGGCCGCCTTTGGTGGGACCATCGATATCGCTAATGCATATGGTAAGCTGGATTCCTCCATCGCTGCTTTTGTTTTTTCTGTTTTTTCCAATGTTCTTTGTCTGTGTTCATGGGTACCAATGGGTTTGGTGATGTGAGACCCAGAGTATGTCTGGCCTGATGATCAGCTTCTTATTCTACCCTCTCTCTCTCTGTCTCTCTCTCTCTCTCTCTCTCTCTGCACCTCTGGTTTCCAAAGACCTCACCTTTCTTCTTGCCCCCTGATTCTTAACCCCCCTGCAAGCATGCCCTGTAGTTCTCTTCGAATGGATTGGCAGAGAAAGTAGGGTGTGGTGTGTCTTCGGTCTTCATCTGCAAGAAAAAACGTTTCCAAATTTATTGGAGAAGCTCCAACACCGCTTACCCTGCTCCGATTTCTAATCCCAGGTGTTGCAGAGGTGGGCGTGATGCTGATCACCACCATCCTCGTGACCCTGGTCATGCTTCTGATATGGCAGACCAGCCGGCTCCCCCTCATCTGCTTCCCCGCCATCTTCGGCACCGTGGAACTGATCTACCTCACGGCGGCGCTGACCAAGGTGGCGGAGGGAGGGTGGCTCCCGCTCGCCGTCGCCGCCATCTTCCTGGGCATCATGTACTCCTGGAGCTACGGGAGCGCCCTCAGGTACGGGACCGAGGTGAGGGAGAAGATCACCATGGAAGCCATGCTCGGGCTCGGTCCTTCTCTGGGCACCGTCAGAGTCCCCGGCATCGGCCTGCTCTACAGCGAGCTTGTCCAGGGGGTCCCGCCGGCGCTGGGAAGGTTCCTGTGCGGCCTGCCGGCCATCCACTCCACCGTCATCTTTGTCTGCATCAAGTGCGTTCCCGTCCCGGCCGTCCCGCCGGAGGAGCGCTTCCTCTTCCGGCGAGTCTGCCCGCCGGCGTACCACCTCTTCCGCTGCGTCGCCCGCTACGGCTACAACGACGGCAGCAGCGGTGGCGGCGGCGGGGAGGAGGAGGAGGGCCACCGGGGCTTCGAGCGGCTGCTGGTGGAGAGCTTGGAGACGTTCCTGCGGCGGGAGGCGGAGGAGGCGGCGCTGGAGCTGAGCATCTCCGGCGACCCATCTGGCCAAAGAGCGGCGGGGCCACCGGAGATGGTCGCCGGGCTGGAAGAGGAGCTGGGGGCGCTGAGGGAGGCGACGGAGTCTGGGTTCACCTACCTTCTCGCTCATGGCGAGGTGAGGGCGAGGAACCAGGCCTGGTTCCTAAAGAAGCTCGCCGTGAACTACGTCTACGCGTTCTTGAGGAGGAACTGCATGGCGGGGGCGCCGAATCTGAGCGCTCCCCGGGTGAACACGATCCGAGTGAGGATGACCTACATGGTTTGACTGATCTTCTTCCACCCTCCTCCTATGGTCAATCTCAGATCTTGATCTGTATGTTGACTTCTGGAGGTAAGTTGACATATTGTTCTTGGACGGGTCCTTTCTCACAAAGTCGACTTAAAATTTGAAGGAGAGTCAAATAGAAGTGTGGGATGACCTCCGTGGTTTGACTTCCACCCTCCCCTTGCGATCAATCTCAGGGCTTTGTTTCCCCGCCACCATAGAGGGTGGGAGCAGGTTTTCTTTTAAGGTGAGAGGGACATCTAGCTATGCTCATCTTGACTTTTAGAAGATAAACTTCTGAGACCTTGATCTGAAGCAGCCAACAAACAACAAGGAATACAGAAATAAAAAAAAGAACAGACACTGTAATAGAAGAGTGCAGGTAGAAAATAAAGATCTGGGCTTGTATAAACCCTAGAATCTGACATGATCATTTGAGAAGACCTCAGCTCTCCTTCAACCTATGGGTTTCTCTCAAATCAACAAAATCATGTTAGGGCAACATGCCCTCTGACTTTTGACAGCCAATAAAAACTTAAGACTATGTTGATCTATATGAATGATGTAAGTGTTGTTGGAGAAGGTAGTGTCTCTATTGCTATATAATAATGACAATAGTCATCAATTCACATTCATATATTGTCTTTATGAGTTCTTGGGTGATGATAAGATGTGGTTGAAGTTGGCTACAGGCTATTGATGTTTTGTAAACATCATGTCAATCTCAATCAAGACTTGCCTGCTTCAATTTTAGATACCTGCAAAAAGTCAAGTTAAATGAAATTGAAATGATGGTTAAGACAGACTTGAGCTGTGTGAATGTTCTATCTACTTCCACTTTCCAATTAAAGAGGTCTTTTATAAGTTAATGCACTAGAGACCAAGTTAAGGCTTCATATCTATTGACAAACTTCGTATAATAGCTGCTTAACCCTTGGAGCTCAACTAACACCCAATGACCTTAGTACTCTATATGATCTTTGTTCGAATGTACACTTTTTGATATTGATGTCAAGCTAGTGTTACCATAGTGTGAATAGTACTTGTTTCAAATATTTTTTATATGTTTTCATATCACTAATATATATTAAAATGTAATAAAAAAACACAAGTATAAACTTGTAGAGGAAGTCTAAAAAAAATAGATTCATAAAAATTTGAATAGTTGCATAGGCATTTATGAGTTTATTAGGTATCACTAAGAGCTCATGATGTATCTTATGTGTCTAGAGGGCTGTCTTGAGAATATCCACATATTTCATCATGATCTCATGATACTCAATTTAAGTTCAATTTCAAGAAAACTATTATCTCATGCTACTTGTCTCAAAGTTTTTCTACAACCAATATTAAAAACATGTTGAAAATAGTGGCCCGATCAAGAGTGGTTATCTATATAGAATCTACAACCATTGTTGTTCTTTTCTACCAATATTACAAAACTCGAATATGAACTATTGGACAGACAATCTCCATTGCACACATTTATCTGATTAACCTTTTAATTTCACATTTTTGAAAATATCAATTCTTATGAGCACAGATGTTGATTAGTTTGACACTTGGTTGTAGTATGACGGCATGGTCAACTTCTCTAATAGGAAGTAGCCTGGAAGATTGATACAATACCTTGTGAAATTTAATCTTGAAACATTAATTTATGGACCTCGAAGAAAATTCAGGTTTGCTCACCTTTCACGATTGATAATGCTCTATTAAGATGTAATGTTATTGCAATTCATGATTCAAAGTCTTTAAAGAGACACTAGACTTACATAGACAATAAGGTGTCCTTAAGATTAAAATAATATTTTCTTTAAAAAAAATTATCATAAGTTAGTTCCAATCAACCTTCATAGTATCAAGAGTTCTCATCCACTACACAGTATCAACTCTTTTAGCTCAAGTACCATACCTTTATGAATTCCTCATCTTCACTCATATGTATGTGTCCATCAGCATCCCAAAACTACCTATGACCATCAAAAACAATCTCATGTCTTCCATTGATTTAGTTGATATAGAATTATGTGTTGCATTGATGTCAATAAATATATTTATTTCTTTCTTGTTTTCCTTCCCTCAAAATTTCATGATACTCAAATCTATCAACCCCTATCGTTGAGTTGAGAAAGAGATCAATGTTCTCCACTTCATTAGTTGTAACTTGATTATGATATCCTCTTCATCCATTTATCATTGTTACTATCATCTCCTTTCTTTTATTCTATTTTTTAATTCATATTGCATTCATAAAACTAGCTTATTACATCATTTGATCACTCGATTATGAACAAATGGTGGCTTGTTCCTAGGGGGAAGAGAGGGGGAGAAGGATGTTCCTGCCTTCTCCTCTTTCAATCCAATGTTGTCCTGTTGTACTCTGATTTACAGGCTATGTCTTGTTGGGCTGGGCTTTGTTTACTTGATCTTTCTATTTCCAACTTGGCTATGAGTTTAGTTGCCCTTAGTGTGTGTGCATTTTGGGCTTCAGTTTTGTAACTATCATCAGCCCACTTAATGTTAGTTGTAGGTCTTGGTGGTACTTGGGGCTGAGGCCATTTTCCTTGTTGTTGAGCTGCTCCTTCAGTTATATGATTGAGATGCTTTTGCTGACCAGTTCAGTAACAATTCACAGACATTTCCTGTTTTGTCCCTTTCACTCTTTCCTTTGTCGTGAAAGCTTCCAAGTGGGCATCTTCTAGTTCCTCAATATTGTGTGCAATTTGGGGCACATCCCTTTTTCTCTCCTTCAACCTACACATCACAATAATATCCCCCACAGAATAAGAAGGCAATATAGGAGAAGAGGCATTTTTATAATGAGTTTTGACAATAATCGTGAGGCTAATTAGCTGGAAGGAACTAACTCTAATCAACACTTCTTAACAAAAAAAATGTTCACTATTACTTCCATTCCTCACTTTTTGTCTTCTCAAGATATTTTTCGTCATGCCCATAGCACCATTTCCATCTTTCCAACATACCTTTGGGGGTGATTTCAGGTGGGGTTTGACAAATTCTATTGATGTTGAGACAACCTTTTCCCCCTAATTCATTCTTCTATATTATGACCTTCTCACTAGTTTTTAATTTTGGGAAGGAGGGCAGCTTTTTCCTCACAGCTCCTTTACTCTTTTTTCCCCTATTTTGTATTTTTTTTCTTCCTCTTTTGAACCTATCACACATCCTTTTTCCCTTTCTTTTTTTTGTTTTTTGGAGTTTAGTTTTTGATCAATTGGAGTGTCAAGGAGATTGGTTCGCCTTTCATCTCTAGATCCAACTAGCCTGACTTGGTCTCCCCTTAGGTTGTGATAGTTGTGTAACTAGTGCTCTGGGAAACATGCTTTTATCTTTTGTTGATTCTCCATGTTGTTGTTTTTTATTTTTTTTATTTTGCATGTGTATTCATGTTGCAATATTCTTATGTAATATATAGTGATTGAGTCATGAGACCATTGACATAGGTTATGATTTTAAGGACATAACTCTTTTTCATTGGTGTACTTTTTCCTTGTTCTTCTAATGTACTACATGCCCCATCATTCTAAATAATGTCTACCCTGTCTGTTCTGCAGTAGATCCCACACACAAGTGAAAACTTGCTCTTTGTCCTATATGACTCCCATGTTAACCAAGAAATCTGTTAATTGATTACCATTACGATAAACATGCATTATCTGCTCAATTTTGGTGTTGTGTTTTAATTTCATTCCATGTTATGATTTGTTACGTGTCTTTGTGTTATGCTTAATTTCTCAATTTTGGTGTTATGCTCAACTTTAGTTTTCAGTGGTTATGTGCCTTCCTTTATCAGATGTACAAGTGCCATTGAATCAGTTTCAATTGTGATTTCTTTGATGTTCAGTTCTTCACATAGTCTTAGGCCATTGGACAACACTTTACATTCTACTTCTATATTTGAGAATGCACAAATTAAATTTCCAGCATAGTCTTAGATGGCACCTCCTCCTAATTTTCCTAGGTTTCCTTTAGATGCCCCATCAATATTTAGTTTCATTATGCTTTTGGGGGAGGAAGCCATTTAATAATTTTTAGTGTTGATTGAAAATTGAGATGATCTATTGGTATTTCCCATCTCTAAATAGTTAACATTTCCTTACTTGAAAAAACATTTCTCGCTTCACAATTATCCCAAGGTTTTTGCCCATATTTTACATTTGTGCATAATAAGGGGATGGGGCTTTTGGATTCATTCATTCGAATTTTGTTTCTTCCAATCCATAACTCCCACACTAGTCACAACATAGTGATTCTCCATAGAAATTAATGGTTATTTCATTAGATATTTCTTTTTAAGGATAGATGTTCATAACACCTTTTTATATTGCTTCCCCATTACCCCCACATTCTATTTCTGGTGAAACCATTTCCAACATCTTCTCGCCCACTCACTCTTGAAGAAGATCTAGGCTTTCCTCCTATACGCACTATATGCAGCATTCACATTTAGATGTGAGTTGGAAACCAACTTTTTATATCTTCTAGTGATAATCAGTTTAATAAGAATTTTCGCATGAAGAATGATATTTTGGTTGGTAAAATTTTATTACCGATGGTTTTTTTGTATTCAAGTTTTGTTCCTTTTTCTCGAAAAACACTCACATGCTAAATCAATTGAGAAATTTATGTTTGCTATTAGGGGCTAGATGCATGTCTTCTTTTAGGTTCATTTTATAAATTTCTTTTTTTATTTATTTTATTACGTTTGTGTTCACTCTTGCATTTGAGATGATACCTTGCTAGTTTTTTTTTTGCATTCTTTATATTTTCTCTATATTAATTCAAACCAAATAGATTTCATCATTTTACATCTCCACATCATTTTTATTCTCACCATTTTCTTTTGGTCTTTTACTTTTCTTATTCTAAACCCCCTTCATCAGTTGGTTTGCATGCACTCTTCCATGACATAGTGGTGTTTTGGTCTATCATTCATTTCACCCAATAAGAAATTTGTCATAATATTCTCTATGTTTTTAATGATGCCCTGTGGGATGTCATATGCAAATAGAGTGTGGATCAGGATTATGCTCAAAACACTTTTGATTAGGGTGATTCTATCCCTTGAGGATAATAGTTTTGATTTTCATTTATCAATGTTTTGTCTTATTTTTCCTACTAGGTGTTTGAAATAGTATTGTTTGGTTCTACCTTTGTAAATTAGACATCCAAGGTATATGAAATGCATACTCCTTCAACTGAATTTTGTGATCTTTTTAATCCATTCTATTCAATTTTGAGGGCTCTTGTGTCATAGGTAGAAGGATGATTTAGATTTGTTTATTTTTTATCATGATATATTTTCGTACTCTATTAAGAATTCCATCAATTTTTTTATAGATTTATTTTGACCATTGGTGAATATGATGGAATCATCAGCAAATAGTACATTTCTTTTCTTAACCTTCTATTGGTTGTAAGGAATGGAGTCAATTGTCTTTTAATGATGAGGGATAAATGACTGCTTTCAATACATGCCTTAATCTATCCTACCCATTTCTTACAAAATCTAAATTTTTTTAGTACCTGTAAAACAAACTACCATTCTAGTATATCATATGCTTTTGTCATATCTAGTTTTAAGATAATATTTTTCATGTTTGGTTTCTTTGTCGATGGATTGAGACATCTCTTGGATGAAAGCAATATTTATGTAATCAATCTATCCTATACGAATGCCCCTTGTTTAGGTGATATGATTTTGGGAAGGATGAGTCTAAGTCTCTTGCATAATATTTTCATAATTATTTTGTAATAAACATTGCATAAGTTATTTGATCTGAACTCTAAGACTTATTTATGTGAATCATTCTTGGAGATCAATGCAAGAAATGCAGTTTTTCGTCCTCTTGGGAGAAATGAGAGGATCATGAATTCTCTAATTGCATGGTAGACATCCCAACATTTGATGTAAAATTTTACACATATTTCATTGGAACTTGGGGTGCTATCTTTTCTCATACTAAATATGGTCTTTTTGATTTCTTCATCACTTAGAATATGGCATAGCATACCATTATCTTCATTTATATGCACTATGGGATTAATTCAAGTAGTTGGTTGTGAATTCTTCAGGGCTCTAATTTTAACAAGTTTAAAATTTTTTTTATCTTATTCTTCCAGATATTTTCTACATATTGTTGGTTAATTGTAACATGTTATTGAATAGGTTGTGTTTCATGTGAATTTTAGTTCTAGCATGGAAGAATTTAGTGTTCCTAGCACCTTCTCTTAATCAGTAGATTGTCTTTTTATTTCCAAAATATCTCATGCTGATTTACAATTTCATTAAGTTCAAGGTTGAGTTTCATATATTCTTCTTATTTATGCTCATCATAGTTGATTTGAATTTCTTCCTCTAGTTTTGCTATTCTTGCTGTTATATTCGTCATTCTCATGTTAATATTTCTAAATATATTTTTGTTCCACCACTAAGATGCATTTTAATATTTTGTAACTTGTAGCTTAAATTTTCCATTTCCCCTTCAATAATTTAACTGCTCTAATGTTTTTTGATGAAGCTTTTAAATTTTTTGTGTTCAGTTTACATGTTTTGAAATTTGAATGGGGTTCCTTTGGTTAATTTAGGTTGTGTTTGTCTAATTAGGATGGGGGCCTAGTTAGAGCAAAGTCTGGGAAGATAGGTGATTTAGATCTATTTGGTTCTTATAAATTTTTCAATTACTAATACTTGATCCAATCTTTGATAAATTCTATTGATACCTCTAGCACTATTAAATGAGATCACGTTATTATCTTCATGTTTCGTTTTAATTAGGCCTAGGCAATGTATTATGTCATTGAAATCATTCATGCAATTAAAACCTATTCTTTTACCTCCAGTTTTTCCATTGAGTTTCTTATGATATTGATGTTACCTTCAATTAGCCATGGGTGATTGTTCTTCCTTATTTCATCCTTTAAAATTTCTCACAGATCTTTACATTTATGTGCTTCATAAGACCCATATATTATGCTAAGTTTTCTATGTTATGTTGGGATGATATTTCTATTATGGTGCATTATTCATGATCTATGGTGATTTTGATGGCCAAATTATTTTTGATAACATCCATATTTTGTTTTTCTAGTTACACAAATATGGTCCATATTTAATTCTCTCTTAGTGTGCTCCACTTTATCTTGAGTTTGGATGGGTTCAATTATAGCTACGAGTTAGAGTTTATGTTCTTCAATTAATTATTCAATTCTCTATTAGATTATTCATGATAGCCCTACAATTCTATATAATAGAGTTGTACATCAAAGTGGTCGATTGATCAAGAGGATCTCGATCTTAATCTCTTAGATCTCCTAGTGTCTTCTTTGTTGCTATTACTAATGTTCTCTTTATTTATGTTGGCATCTTCATTGTTACTTACATTTGTATCTTCAGTGTTTGAGTTATGCATGATAGGTTCTTCCTCTAAGTCTAAGTATCCCTTTTTTGTACTCATATTCTCATCTATGTTCTCTATTATGCCCTCCTTTTCTCTTCCCTATTCTATTGGTTTCTTGCCCCACCTAACCTCTCCTAGGTCAAGGAATTCCATCTCAACATAACTTCCTCCTACCCACCTCTTGCCAATATGTTCTAGCTACTTTCTAATAGACTCATTTTTTGATTGTTAACAGTAATGAATCTCATGTCATAGTGTATGGGGGATTATTTCTCATATGTTTCTAAGTGGTTTAATTTTTGGCATTCATTATTATTTTCCACTTCTTTCATCATGTTGGTCTTTAGATTTTCAATTGATAATTCGATTTTCCTTCCCTGGTGAAGTTGATGGAATACTATATTCATAGTTTATTTTCATTTTAGTTCCTTCTTCATTTTTTATTATCTAATCTATGATTTGTCCCATACCAAAGTTTTAAAGTATCCCTTATAACAACATCAAGGGAATTATTCTTTTGTTGCTGCTCGTCATTATCTTGGATGATTTGGGGGTTGTTGAGATTTCCTATCTCTAGGTCTTGTATGATGTCGTCTATTGGCTTATTAGTTATATGATTATTTTCTTGTCTTATATGTTTCCCTATTGTTGGATTTTCCTTGCCATTTGTTGAATTGATGTTTTTCTAATTTAGCTTTGCTTATGGTTCCCTAGTTGTGATGTTTTGTTCAAGATCACTCATTGCTACTCTTGTACTTAGTACAGTTTCTATTCTTTTTTTTTTCACATTTCTTTTCCACTCTTTCTAGGTGAATTATTTCCATCTTCTTTTGTGCTTTCTCCTTCCCTCTCTCTCCTAATGGAATTGATCTTCCTAGTATATTACTTGACATTATCTTTTTGATTCTAGCAATCCCTTGATAAGTCTTCATTACCATGAGTTAATAATTAATAAATAATATAATTTTAGTCTTAAGTCATGATAAATAGACTCATATTTATGTTAATATATGAAAAGTGATTTTCAGTTGATTAACGTAAATTTTTAGATAATTATGTGATTTTATATGAATTTATATAATTTTTACAATCTTACTTTTGAGATAAATGAAGAAAAAGAAATAAAAATAAAAATAAAATAAAATGAGGGGGACCCCCCAACCAATCAGGCCCACAAGTAGGTTGGAAACGCAGTCGCTGAGTAGCCGCAAGTAGGGGTTCAAGCAACTTAGACAAATAGGAGCACATATGTGTCACTCCCCTTCTACATCACTAGTGGTCATCCGACTGTGGGGCAAGAAGTGATTGTACACATGCGAGAAATGGACTTACTTTCAAATGTAACATTACTATATATTTGTCCGAAACTTCTAGGTCACACCTTCGTTAAAAAGGGTGGGCAACCGATGTAGGTTCGAATCCTCTTAAAGCCAAAACTCATTTTTTTTATTTGATTATTGTGACTTTTCTATAAATTGCTAGTGAAAGATTAAGCAATTAGAATCATTGGATCATTGGTGAAAACCTCATCAATTCAATTCATAGAGTATTGTTACTAAATTTATTAAACGATTCATAATAAAAGGATCGTAAATTCATTAAGTAAAGTATCTCTAATTGATCGACAAACAAGCCATCATCAAGAAGAGGATGATCTACTAGGAGACAAGCTGTCACCTCCTGAGAGCATACTAAATGCAATAAAAAGACTCCTCTTGCTACGCGGACTTAAGGATGAAGCTCCCTGACATGTGTCCCACTTCTATCTAGCTTCTCTCCGTCAAGTAATAGTCGTTAGAGAGCTGCAAAGTCATCATTTTTTTGTTCCACTAGGTAACAACTACTGGAGATGATTCGGCGACCCATTTCATTGATCTCTAGACTTTGAAAAAAGATCTAAAAATTGACCACGTCATCTTTATCTAAGGAGAGCTTTCAAAGCCATGGACATTGCACAACGATCCTCCCGAACACTTAAGATTTCAGTACATTATCAATGCATTACCGCCGCGACATTGGAACTCTGTTTTCTTACTTTCAACTTAATTTTTACTTCATTTAATGATAATAATATGATTTAAATTTATCAAGATATACATCATTCTATTAAGATTCTTTTAGATTTTATAAATCTTAATTTGATCAATTAAATCATTTATAATCACTTACATAAGAATCGTCGAGCAGAACTTTATTTTCATCTGATTTACATTTGCCAGGCATTGACGTCATCTTGACGTTTGCACTCTTATTTTCCTTTTTTGTGAATTTTAAATATATTTTATTTTTATTTTTTAGTATAAAATTCATAGAAAATAGTATTCTCTGAGAAACATTATGAATAATTACTTGATATTATATTACATCTTTGTGATCAACTTAAAAAATTACTACTATTTTTAAAAGTTTGATTGAATTATAATTAATATATTGGTTTTAAAATACTTCTAAATATCTAAAAATTTATATTTTCTAGTTTTATAAATTCTAAATTTATGTGATTTACTATACAACAACTAAGTCACTTCACCCCTCATGTTATATCCTTTTTTTTTCATATAGTGCAGAATGGAGGGACTTTCTCTACCATGATTATCATGCTCAAATAGATTTTATTACTATCATTTTAATGAGTTACTTCAGCTCATTAGGGTTAAATTTGAATTTTGTCATAACTTCATGTTTAGTCACTTTTATAAATATGCTTTCTAGCACCTTTTTTAACATTCTTTCCATCACCCTTCAGTAGATAATGATAATAGTTTAAAGTCTCTCTTGTACTCCATCATTAATTCTTATTGTTTAATGTTAGGGAACTTGTTGCACAAACTTTCAACTTGGGTTGAGTTGAAGTGTACTAGTAGTTGTTCCATATCTCTCTAATTTGTAATCAAACTCCAAACTTCCATCCAACAATATTAGGCTAAGACTTTTTTCAATGTTCATTCTTATGATCATCATTCTCTACCTTTGCTCCAACCAAATGTCTACAACTTTAGTCATCGACCTTCTCTCCAATAATCTATGTGATCGCTATGTTCCTATTGAAGTACATTGTCAAATGAGATTTCTCTTCTTTATCCTATAACTTATTATATTACATTCTTATCACTTCTGTCATCCTCTTGTAGCTTGGTTCTCCTTCTATTCCATTCATTTTTCATTTTGAGTACAAATTTTAGTAAGATGTCAATCAAATTTTTCTCTTCATAAAAGAAGTTGATATTATTTTAAGGTTGGAAAAAAGATTAGAAATGGATAAAATTAATGTGAAGAGCAACTAACCCTTTGTGTGAAACAAAATGATATGTTCATCTTTGGCTTTTAGAAGATAAAGGTAAATTAGCATCTTAAAATTCAATGTTTACTTTCATTTAAAGTTTGACTTAGAATTTGAAAAGAGCATGAAATGAAAGTGTGGGATAGGTTTCATTCAAACCAAGCTGCTGTAAAATATAGAGTTTATGTTTCTCCTCATAATAGGAGTTTGATAATTAGCTTCATTGAGGAATTTAGAGTAAATAGAACCTATGTCAAAATGTAATTATTACAATAGTGAATTTAAGAAAAGTCAACATAGATATGAGAATTTTACACAAAAAATTATTGGCATTTAATGTGTGTGTCCCTTCAATGCATCAGTCAACTTTGAAAACTTCAAATAGTTTGCAAGAAGACAATCAATGACATTTTAACAACTCCTGGAGAAGGCCTAAAATCAAGTTGGCAGTGTTGTACCAACCTTGTGTTTTCAATAAGCTATGATAAAAGTCCATGTCTTTTGTATAATTTGTCGTCCTTTACACATCTATAAAAGGTGAGTTGACTTCCAGAAGTCAAAGTCATTTTTCTAAAACATAAAATAGAAATGAACACAACTTTCCATTAAATATTTTTGGGGATTGATATAGTTTTTTATAATCCAGAATTAATTTTAATGATGTAAAATACCCATTTCACCCTTATTTTGTCATCCATTGATATCAAAAATACATATATAGTAACTATAAAGTTAACATATCATACATTGACCACCCTAAGTTTCTCGATAACCACAGCTCATGGCTCCTCCCCTCTCTCACTTGATAAGTCTTACACTCTACAGCATATGGGAAATTAAAATGTGGATATAAGAATTTATCTGATCTGAAATATATACAAAAAGTACGGATAGTTTACTCATAAATTAGATGAGTAAACTAAATTAGTTCTCAAATTATATCAAATTGGTGTTGAGTATGAAACTAAATTTTAAAATAATCGATTAAATTTATATCTCTAGCTATTTACTACTGTTTAAGTGGCAACAAGGGGGACGACCTATAACGGTCGGATTTTCTAATAATGACCGCCATTGGCTCCCTACTAACGTCCACAATCTACTGAAGCTCCGTTCTAGTCCGTCAGTTCCAGTTCTACCGACCGTTGGGGGTGCTAACCTGGTGGGGCCAAGCCAGCTGCTTTCCAGCCCTTCTGGACTCCACGTCATTCCCTGCTGGCGCAGCCCCACCCGTTGACGACAATAAAAAGCCTAGAGCGAGAGAGAGAGAGAGAGAGAGAGATGGGTGGTGACGGGGGAGGAGATCCACAGGAGTCGTCTGCGGCGGAGGCAGGCCGCAGCTTCGCCCAGAGGGGGTGCTGCTACTTCTGGGCTCCTTGCTTCGGTTCCGGCGGCGCCACCGGCAATGCCCACCACAGCGGCGCCGCGGGCGGGTGGGAGAGGATAGCCGTATCGCGGGAGCTCTCTTTGAGCTCCTCAGGCGAGCCCTGGTGGCGGAGGGCCCTGATGAGGGTCCGAGAGTGGTCGGAGCTGCTGGCAGGGCCCCGGTGGAAGACCTTCATCCGGCGGCTCAACCGGAGCCCCCGCGGCGGCGGGAAGGTGGCGAAGCTCCAATACGACCCACTGAGCTACGCCCTCAACTTCGACGACGGCGGCAGTGGCGGGGAGCCCTCTGACGGGGAGCTGGGCTGCCCAGATTTCTCCGCCCGGTTCGTGCGGCCTCCTCCGCCGGTGGGCAGAGCCTCCGTCGACCTCGGCTACGCGGAGGCACCGCCGCCTGTCTTCCTCGCCGCCTAAGAAGGCGGCGGCGGCGGCTGCGCGAACGTTATCGAAGAGTAGCTTATTTCTTATTATTTTTTTTACCACAGCCTAAATTCTCATCCGAGAAATAGCTCGTTTTTTTATTTTTTACACCCCTATATTTATCCATAAATATAATATATATATGTCATTTTAAGCGGAATACGAGAGTTCAAACCGATTTTTCCCCCACAATCTATCATATTCATTTCCACTTTACAAAAAAGAAGCCACCATCCGACTTTCCTCCCTTTATTACTATCTTGACTCGGAATTTCTGAATGGGATCATCGGGAATGGCGCTAACTACCACCGAAATATCAAAATCAAGAAGTTATGACGTCGTTAAACGTCATTTTTCGGGGGAATGAGAAATCAAGGGGTTGATGCAGTGAAAGGAAGCCCATGTGAAATTATTTTCCCACTACCGAGAAAAAAACCCCATGTGGGCTGGGCATCATATGAATCTATTTTCCCAAAGAGGAAATCAATAAAGTGCTAATCTTGGTACCAAAAAACTGGATGCAGAATTCTTCAAGGATTTCCAATAATGAATTAAATAATCCATAAATTTAGTGATAGAAAAGATGCCTGAAACAGTAGTTTGAAGCTGAGGGCTTGTGTAGGTTTTATATCTTTTAGATAAAATGAAGTGAAGGAAAAAAATTCATGATGATGATGATGAACAAGGCCAAACAACCACATTATCTCTCCCATTTTTTTCTACTTCAGGAAACAATGACATCAGCAAACCCAGCCAATTAGACTTCAAAGAAACTTGTGGGTCCCCACAATAGAACGAACACCAATTGGGGAAAAAAATGAGGGGGTACCCAGCCCATTTGACTTTTTTTTAAAATAAAAAAAAGAATATTAAAGCAAAACTTCTGTGTTCTCAGTGGAGCACCAACCTGGGGAAAAAAAAAAAAGATGGATAATATCACGATGAATCAACCACGCAAAGGCACCGACAGAATCAGCCCCCCGTTTTTTTTTCTATTTCAGGAAACACTGACAAGGATGATGATGAAGAGAAAAAAAAAAAAACTGCAAAATTTGACCCAAGAAGGCCCCCGTTTTCAAAGCAAAATTTATGAGTTCCTGAAGTGGCCGACGTACCAAGAGGGAGAAAGGATGATATTCTCAGAGGAAAGTCGCAAGGATCGTCAAGCATAAGGGGGGGGGGTACTCAGCATTAGGCCTGCTGCACTCTTGGTACCTTTTCAGACATTTTCCGGGGTCCAGGTCTCTGTGGCAGGTCGATTAGGCTAACCAAGAACTCTGCAGCCTGGAGGACCATATTTTTTGCTGGATATGTTCATGCCCTCAGATCATCTGACATCGCCGAAGGTATGCAGTGAGTGCTGAGAATTTCGAGCGTGGCAGCCTTTGCGGTCTTCGTCTCTAGGACGACTATCTGTGCAAAAAATTAATAAGTCAAACAAGTGTCCATTAGGATTTATGGCCAAATTACTACGCTAAATGTTACAATTTCCAAGGTTCAATAATAAATAAACAAATTATAATATATTTGTGCATAGAGCTGTTCCCGAGGTTTTCTCTTCTTTTTTTTTTCTTAACTTTAGGAAGCATATCATTCGGAGAGCATGGGAAGCTATTTTTGCGTGTAGGTGAGGAGTGATGAATATCAGGTCCGAAATTAATGAGCGAGGTGGAGATGAGACCTGATCGTAGTCCAGACTGAACTGCAGAAACTCTTCATTACAGTTTTCTACCAAGGTCGCCAAACCTTTCAGATTCTTCACAGGTTTACCATTGAAAGAAAGAACCTGCAATGCAGCAACAAGTCATCTTCAAGCAGATGTACCATATAACCGAAGTATATATGCCCATAAATAGTATGTCCAGACGGGTGTCTTGGGACCACCTGCACATATCGGGTGCTGCTCTCTGCACGACGATATGGTTCTAAGATGATCTCCCTAGGGAACTGGAAGCTCCATGGACCACTAGTGTGGGCACTGGCCATTCAAAGACGATTGCATAGATTGGTAGTTCCTACTACACCTGGTCTTCATGTGCAATCAGGGAAGAGAGGAACAGTCGGATGTTCAGGTCACAGAGCTCCTTGAAAGAGAGAGAAAGCACCAATGCTTGTGATATAGAGAGGGAACTGGAAAGGATCATTCTCATGAGGGACGTCGCATTTTGGTTGGTTGACTTCTTTTCTTAAAGTTTAAAGTCAAATCTAGGGAAAGAAAGCACTTCGATAGCCACTAAACAGGATGTCACGATTAATCCCCAACAGGGTAGATCTCTCTCTCTCTCTCTCTCTCTCTCTCTCTCTCTCTCTCTCTCCCCCCTATATGATGTTAGCAACAGATGTGACGATAAAGTATGATGTAAGGATTGGTTGGTTCTACAAAGGCTGTTAGCTGTTAAGCACGGAACACCATAAGACGAGTTAGGCAAAGCCTCAGAAATGAATAAATAAATAAGCTTAAGAGATTCCCATCATGCAATAAGAATATACCATATAGAAGAAGCCAGTTTTTTTTTTTCCGTCACGCTTTTCTTAGGTTAGAGGACATAAACCATTAAGCGAGACGAGATCTTAATGGAGTATTTCATCCCAATCTAACCTGAGTGTTGACAATCTCTTCATAGCCAATATTAATATCCGCCACAAGAACCTGATGGAACATGCAAAAAAGTCAACATAGGTGTGTAAATGGTGAACTTTATGGAAGAATGCATTTCGCTTCACAGCACACAGCACAAAACCTGAGAGACAACGACAAGCTGCTCATCTTCTGATTGCGCCATTGAATGCAGGAGTTTGTCCAACAGTTTGACAGGTGCGTCATATTCATAGTCCTTCCCATACTGGAAGGATTAGATCAAGGGGAAACATCACTCAAAGGAGCAGAAGTAGTTTGCATCCACAAATATTTAATTAAAAAGGAAAATGAGAAATAAAGAAAAAAATGCCTTCCAGAAAAAATATATATATATATATTAGTTGGAGAATGACTTCTTCAGAAGTGTGGAAAGCATGCCCTTAAAAAAGACGTTCAATGATACATGGTAGAAGGATGTAAACTGACGTTCCACTATACCAAATCGTGTAATTATAAGACAAATAAAAAATAGATACCCACATACAGCAATACTGAAGTTAAGGTTGCCAAGCTCAAGGATGATAATCACCTTAGTAACTCGTACACGAAATAGGAAACGCTCCAACAATATATTTCAAATTACACCAAACAAAATGGGACAAAACAGGCTGCCAGACAGCCATGACACATTACAATATTCATCCGTTTCAAAGGGTGGTTTCCTGGCCCACACCAGGTTGATGAGAAGAGATCCATTATTACATGATTTCAGCATTTCTTCAGAAGAGTAAACCATTGAAGAAACAAAATAGGTAAGTTTATTTTGCAGGCAACTTCAGACAAAATTACTTGTCAGGCAACAGGCCTTAGCGTCGGTTTCCCTTCCTTCCCAGGAAAATATAATGAAGCATACAAGACAAAAAAATATTCAATTCAAATATGAACCCCATGCACCGATTATAAAATCTGTTGATGAGCTAGCTCATATTGAGTTTTGGAAGTTTACAACTTTATTACCATCACTAAGTAACCATATGCACTTATCAACCAACAGCTGAATTCAGTAGATCATCTTCATGAAAGGGTGTTAGTGCATTTAACATGTCAGCTCATAAATAGTTACAGAACTAGGTCCCAAGCATTGGAATGGATAATACAGATCTTATAGAAAGGATTGGCGAATTCTAACCCAAACACTGGCTGATCCAGAAGAACAAAAGGAAAAAAGAAGAAAGAGCAAAAGAAAACAATTCGGAAAGAAACGACCGGAGGGATGATCAAATATAGAACAAACAGAAGGGGTAAGAAGAGAAAGTAATGTTAGGTCAAAAAAAGTGGGAAAGAGAAAGTAAAAATGGGAGTTTATCTCATGATAAAAGAAAGGCCACAGATCAAAAATGGAAAGCTATTAGCCCTGAAACCAACAGCTGCCAGAAGCACAAGGCGCCGCACCGCTATCTGTTCTTCCCAATTAAAAACAATTACTGATTCTGAGCTTCGCTATTATTCACACGGCTACAACACGGTCGTACCCCATATCTACCACGAGCACACCAGATGCTACACAGCTGGATTCCAAAATTGTTTTTAACAGAAAAGAAGAGCTCAGTGTATAAATACTAAAATGCCCAGGGCACAAGGCTCTGTTAGGCTCAATGTACAGCTTAAACATGAACCATGGCCTAAGCTTTTTCTTTGACTTGCTTTGAATGGATCACGGATCACTTTCACTCAGATCTCTCATGATTTCAGCCAATTTCACCCCCACCCAATGATGCAGCCCCGTACTAAATTTTGAATCTTTCTCCTTTAGGAACCGTAAATTCGGCAGCAGAAAGGAAGATTTAAACCTATCTTTTAGAAACAGGACTCACGTGAACCTACCCAAGGCACCAAAAAATTTGAAGAGCAGAAAGGAGGTGAATAAATTAATGATATAAAAGCACAATTTGAGAATTATCACATGTGATCCAAAGATGCTTCTGAATTCCTAACGACTTAAGTATCATTAAATGTTCAGATGAAGATACTCCGGGTGCACCTTACATGAGAGCTCTGAAGACATAAATACAGAAAAGTTACCCATAATAACAACACAACATGAACTCATGGACCGATATGGAATCAAACCCTTCCTGAATGATAAAAAAGGCATTTAAACATGATTTAGTTCATGCTATATACCAATGATAACTATTCTTAAAACTTGGACTCCATAAAAATTCTTCTTACTCTTTCCGAGCTGATTGCACCATTAGTTATCAGACATAAAATGGACACGTGTTTTCAGTCAGTATGAATAAAAAACGTATCTGATCCAGTCATCTATAAAGTGAAAGAGCATGAATATGTACCACAAAGCCAATGCAAGCTATACGAACTAGACAATCCCAAATGACAACGACTAAGGTGTCATGGAGTGATATCTAGAAACAAAAATTTATAACTCCTACGCTACAGAGTAAATAATATTTTCTTTAAGAAGACCAGCAAAGTTGATGATTACAACTCTTAAAACTCTTAAATAGTAACGAAGTCAAAAAGAAAGGAAAAAGAGAACGAAGCACACATGGTTTCATAAGAGCAACTAACCTCAGAACGAAGATAAGGAACTGATATACATGTAAAGACAAAACCAGCAATGATGTAATATGAGGGTGGTCGGCCCTTAATGTGAGCTGGAATGAGTCTTTTGTGTGTTTCAAGTTTTACATTAAACTCATGGACTTCTGACTTGCGAAGAATCTTCACCAATGCAGTCTCTCCAGTGTACTTTTGTGAGACAAGATAACTAAAGCCAATGCGTTCCCCATGTCTGAAAGGAACTGCACCAACACAAATAAAACGAGTATCACCAACAGTCAAGAAGCCACAAATACAGATAGAACACCTATCAGCAATGGTAGTCGTATTCACGAATTCATATCAACAGTAGAACATTTAAATGCAAGACTTTTAGAGTCATTGATTACACATATCGTATCCTAACAATTACATCACTAACCTTTCTACATCTCATCTTAAACCTTGAACAAATCTAAAAACTAACAGAAAACATGTTTAAAAAGAATCTTACTAGTTCCGTCATTAGCAATATCAATCCCATCAAAACTGAGTAGAATATCAGATGGCTTCATCAGATGAGATTCTGGAGCAGTTGGTTCCACTCTCCTGATACGAACACCCTTCTGATCAGGCTGCATCCCCATAGCCTTGCGTAGATCAGGATTTTCCATCTTCTGCCACTCAATTCCGAGAATTGGGAAGCCTGCGATGAAATAAACATTAAGAGCACTTGAATCTAAGTCTGCAAGCCAAACAACAGATCAAAGGAATAAACAAATACATGATTTTGCAGACCGGCTAACAAAAAGAAAAAGAGAAAAAATGAAATAGGATCACCATGTTCTATCCAAAATACCTGTATAGCCTCCTGATTTTTCATAGTCTCGAATGAAATGAAGAATGACAGGTGTGGGTATGACATATCCTATGTTTTCTACATCTTCATGCTTAAGGGACTGAAATGCTATGCCAACACATTTTCCCTTGTCATTGAAAGCAGGACCACCAGAATTTCCCGAGTTTATCGCTGCATCAATCTGTAATTGCGAACAAAACTTAGAGAAATAAAATAGAAATGGTCCTCCCTCCCAAAAAAAAAAGTTAAACACTTCATGATCAAATATCCTAATGATTATGAATTCTTCAGGAGTTAACTTGGATATATTTTACACTGTTTCTAACCTGCAAACCCAACAGCTCTGTGGAGCCATGAACGTACGACAAGATCTCCATGCGAGAAACAACACCACTAGTCACAGAAATGGTGTCACCACCAATTGGGTAGCCAACAACAGTAACAGCATCTTGAAGTGCAGGTAAGGAACCGAACTCCAAAGGTGAAACGCCATCCCAGAACTCATCATCACTGACAGTCAGCAAAGCTGCACGTTAGAAATACTAAATTCAGCATCAAACAGTTACACAAAGAAGAGTTAAATAGACATCAACTAAATAAACATTCAATTATATAAGGAAATACAAACCGTGCAGACCGGTACTTTCTCAAGGGAAACTAACAATTCCCATGACTGCTGTGGAGCTTCCTAATGATCTCTTCAAGTCATAGTAACCCTACATGATCTGCATTTAGAAAGACCACTGGCCACGTTACATAGCCAAGGTTTTCATGCACGACATTGACCTTTGCATTTGCTTTAACAGGCCAAAATAACGTGAAGAATTTCAAGGTGTGCCCAACAAAACAATTACTCACAGCAGGAATTTCATCGCAGATACATCTTCAGCCAACAAGAGTTTCCAAATTCCTCAAGATATTTAAGAATCCTATTCAGATCTCTACATGGCCAACGCTCAGATCTCAAAAGAGGGAGGCTTTATTGGCATTCTAATTTTTTGTCTGGAAAAGAGAAAAGAGATGACAAGTTATGGTGGCTCATGCTCTATGTGAATTAAGATTTAGAATCAATGGAATAATTCTTCTTCAGGTTTCAAAGGTGGTAGAAATATAAGAATTTCCAGTGAGAGGGAAAGAGTGACTGGGCAAGGATTCTATAAATCGAGGAAGAGGGTGGTTCTACCATTTTATTCGCTTCAGGTATATTGCTCAGTCAACACCAAGGTCTGCACATCTCTTCTTGCATGGCGGGATTGTTTTAACTGCTTGTCGCAGATAAACTTGTGCATCTCTTTACTTGACCCTTTTCAGTACAATAAACAGGCCACTTTAAACATTTGGAGATTTCTTTATGATTGAAACGTACTCTTTGCTGACACCGACCATTTCCCCAGAAATGTCTGACAAGAATGGGAAAGGGAAGAACTTTCATCAAGCAGAAAATGTGTGCCTCATCACATCAATCTATGTTTAGAGGTAATAGAGGATCCCAAAAGATTCTGAGTACTGCATGAACTTCGCCTCTTTAATATAATAGTGCACAATAAAGCTAACTTTGTTTGTAGACAAGAAAACGGACAAGGAGGTCATGCACAATACTGCCAAGAGAAGAATGAGAACTGAAAAATATATAGAATGGACTTTTCTTCAACCTTGAGGACACGAAAGTGAAAAGTATAGATGTGGAGAAGACTATGAAAAAGGAAACGGAACAGAAAACGGGCATTTAGCATCATTGTCACGTTCCCAATACAAAGGGATTCTGAGAATCTACATTTGCCTTCCAGATACCTGGCGTGCAGAACTTACTTCGAGGGAAAGATCTATCAAGCATAAATTAGAAATGGAGCTGGATATCTTTTGATAACATGTTAGATGTTACGGACTGCTAGACTTGAAATTATCCAGTAGAACGCTAATCATGTCCAAAATCTTAGTGGATGAACGCTCGAACAAACTAGTTAACGTTGAGAGGACTTTACTGAATAGGAAGCGAAATTAGCCCATGGAGGAGGGTCATCAATCACCAGTGGCGTCATCCTATTATTTTTTCTACCCATGTATGAATAAAGACACAGGCAAGCACCAACAGGAGTACAAACGGGTAACCATAAATTTCTCCGTCCCAAATATCCAGTCAGAATATACCCAAGGACAGTGGGGTCATCCTATTATTTTTTCTGATGAACGGGTTGTTGATATGTTAGCTACTTAACAAGGTAAAACAACATAAACCATGTATCAGGTGGTGAAATAACGTACAAGTCTCAGTTCCACTCATGTGGCTTATCTGATCCATGATTCTGCATGAGTTGAACTACTAGAAAATTACAAGGACATTAGACAAGCATCATGCGGTAATATTCTGGAAAAGTTTCACTTCCTATCCCATAGTCCTTGTCCCAAAAGCATTGTGTGATTCAGTCTTAAGAAAATCTAAAAACTTATATTCCTATACTTCATAATCTTACTATGTTTTCTGGCTCGACCATAGTTGGTGCTAGTTCAACGTTTGCAGGAATACCACCTTGAGTTCACTTCTTCCAACTTAGCCTCGAGTCAATCTGAACACACAGCCTCTGCTTCATAGGGCAGGCGTCGTGGCTAACCAAGCTACAGAGATGCTAGATATCACACCGTTAGGGAAACAATTAGCACTATGACAAACGAATAGGCTACTATGAGTATGGACGAAACATGGACCGAAAAAACAGATAAAGAACAGATAAAAAGAAGCCCAAAAACTTATCGACCGCTGAGAGAAATAGGAGTGAAAAGTACCAATATCGCACTCTGTTCCAATGGCCAGCACAGTCGCAAGGTACTTGGTGTCCGACCCGCGCTTCTTCAGCTTAACCTGCGTGTGGTGCTCGACCGAGTGGGCATTCGTCAGCACCCTCCGGTCACCAATGATAAAACCGCTACTGCTCGAACTGTACTGGCGCTTTCGCTGCCACGGCAGAGAGAAATTGGGCTCCGTATGCACGCAGAACACCTTCACAACAGCGTCCATCGACGGCACCACCCGCGCCACTTGCTCCCACCTCAATGACTGCTGCTCCGCAACGACAAGCTGGTCCCCGCTCTCCCCCCCGCTGTTAACCACCACGAGAGAATTCCGCAGCGGGGACGACGGCCTCTTGGCGGACTCACCTCGCTTCGCCTTCTGCCTTCTCCCGCCGTCCCTGCCCTCGTTCTGCCCTTCGCCAGCCGGCAGCTGGCCCTCCGCCTCAGCCACTGGCTTCCTCGGGCGGCCCCGGAGCCTCCGGGGGCTCGAGGCTCCGGCCTCCGCGTCCTCCATGGGGGACCCCTCGGAGGCGGAGGGAGCACCTGTCTGGCCTTCCGCGGCCTTGGCATCGGGGGCCTTTCCCCGGCCCCTCTTCCTCTTGGTCTCCATCCTCCTCTGCAGCTTTGGAGCACCGGTCTAGGGTTCCCAACTCCGCCCTTCTCCACCCTCCGACAGCCGAGAGGACTACGGGGAGGAAAGAAGAAGGGGTTTCTTCTTCTCGGACAGTGTGCCGGCGAACGGAGCAGAGTTGCAGAGGCGGTGTAGCAGCAAACGGGTGCTTACCGGGGAAAATAACCTCTTGTCTGATCGGCCACGTGGACGGTCGGTCAACAATGACACCCCAAAGAGGGAGCGAACTGGACGGTCGAGATCGACCCTTCACGACATGGCCCTCCACGGCGTAACACGGAGAAGAAGTTGGTGAGGACGATGATAAAAGAGAGAGAAAAGAAGGATATTAAATTATTTCCCATTTCAAAAAAAGGAAAATTTAAAATTAATTGGTTGATCAACCCATTTATTTGCTTCCGTATCATAGGAAGTAGTATTTTAATAAAATAAAATAGTCGATTTATGTCACCTTTGTTTATGCATGCTCACATAGACTGCTCATCTATAAAAAAAATATTAAGGACCCATATATCCCTTCTAAAAATAATATCATTTTATTTAAGTTAGTTTAGAATAATTATGAGAGATATTCCCCCTTTAAGAATCCAAGGTTGGATGTAAATTGAATTGTCTGAGAATATAAGAGGTTGTAGAAATAAAGTGGAACATAATTTTAATCATGGTAAGTCAAATCTAGGGCCTAGTCCATTGCCCTTGGTCTCAAGCTCAATATTTCTAATATGTTTCTTTCCAAACTTATGATGTATTGAGATTTTATGGGGGACCTTAATCAAATTTCTGCTCCAAGTTGGATTTCCCGAAGTACCCACAAAATCTAAACCTCACGTGATAGTAATTTTGCACAAATTAGATAGAAAATATATATATTTAGAGTTTACAACTGCTACAAATATTGGTAAGGATGTTGTTATTAATTTTAGTAGATGATAATATTTCCCCTTCTTTTAATAGATATATGGTGGAGATCTTTCTCATATGGAGCCTTGAGTGGCAACCCTTTTTGAGCTCTAATGTCAACATTTTTAGTTCAAAGGTCAATGCATGAGGTTTGGTTCAAATCTATATGGATTAAGTCAAATATATATCTTATTGGCCTAAATATTTTGTTACTTCTTTAGTTTGAGAAAACCCTAATTTCTCTACCAAAATAAATTAAAATGATTGCAATAATAGGTATAAAGTTTTAAGTTATTTACTTGTCAAAATCAGCTCATAAAGTTCAACCCCTCAGAGGCCAAATTCTTAAGTCTCTCTCTCTTATTATAACACATTGAAACTAGTTCTATGAAAAACCTAAAACTTACTATCATGTCAATGGATAGAGGAGGTACCTTTCTTGCTCCACCATGTGTGGCCTTGATCATTGGCCCTATGGCCAAGTAGTCTTCTTCCTTCCCTAAAGCCTTGCATTAACTTTTGTTGAAAGGAGAGACACACTTTAACTTAGAGTTTATAATAGTAGGAGGGAACCACCAATCTGCCACTCTCACTCTACTTGATTAAAAAAATCAAGTAGTACTCCCCTATTTATAAGGGAGATCCACACATGGATTTTCCTCATAATACCTCTAATGGACTAGCACTTCATCACCTTAGATAGAGTGCCTAAACATAATGAAACACAATAAACCTCCCTTAACCATTGTTGAAATTGGTGGTTAAGCATCTCTCTTTAGGAGATCAACTTAAAGGTCTAAGCTTTGTGATGTTAATGAGTTAGCCCAATTAACCTCACACTACACTCATTGTGTGTGTTGACATGTGTTACGCATGAACCATCCATCTACATGATGTCCACTCATACATGCATCATCATATGACATGGCTCTACATAGGCATTTTTATTGTGTTGTACCACAAATTTTTGTCATGGCTCTATGTTGTTGTTATGCCAACATCATGTCATATTATATTAGTGCCATTCGAGGTTCATAAGAAGCCCTTATGAACATCACTCCATATTGGTGTTATTTATATGTGTTGTGCATGTCTCATGACATGTTAATAAGTCTTCATTATCATGAGTTAATAATTAATAATTAATTAATTTTATTATTAAATCATGATAAATAGACTTATATTTATGTTAAATTATGAAAAATAGTTTTTAGTTGATTAATATGAATTTTTGGCTAATTATGTGATTTTATAAGAATTTATATTATTTTTTAAGTATTATTTTTGAAATAAATGAAGAAAAAGAAAATAAAAAAAATAGAAAAAAGGGAGGACTTGCTAGGTCGGAAGCACAGTCAAGGGGAGCTGCAAGTAGGGGCTTAAGTGGTTATGGACTAATGAGGGCATGTGTGCGCCACTCCCCTTCCACGTCACTAGTGGCTAGCTAGCTATGGGGTAAAGAGTGGTCATATACGTGGGAGAAAGAGACTCATTACTTGAAGATGTGATATTACTATATATTCACCCAAAACTTAGGCGTACAATCGATATGGGACTAAACCCATATCATACCTTCCTCGGAATGGTTTTATTTATTTTAATACCTAAAATATTCCTTAGTTATAATAGAGATATACCATAATGATGTCGCTTTATAAGGGTATTATAGTACTTATTTTAAACTCTCTCTTACAAGCGGATGACTGATGCAGGTTCGAATCCTATCAAAGCCAAAAATTCGTATTTTTATCTAATTAAATTACGACTTTCCTACAGATCACCGATAAAGGATTAAGCTGCCATAATCGCTTGATCATCGACGAAAATGTAATCAATGCAATTTGTAGAGTATTGTTACTAAAATTACTGAACGATTTGTGATAAAAAGATCGTGAATCCATTGAGTAAAGCATCTCCGATTGATCAATGAACAGACCGTTATCGAGAAGAAGACAATCTGCCAAGAGATCAGTTGCCACATCTTGAGAGCATACTAGATGCGATAAAGAGCCTCCTATTACTACGTGGACTTGAGGATAAAACTCTTTGACATATGTCCCACCTCCATTTAGTTCCTCTCCATCAAGTGATAGTCGCCGGAGAGCCACAAAGTCGTCGATTTTCTGCTCTATTGGGTGACAGTCGCATGAAATGATTTGACAACCCATTTCATCGATCTCTGAACTTCGTAAGAGGATCTAGAGATTGCCCACATCATCTTTGTACAAAGAGAGCTTTTAAAGCCATAGACACTAAACGACAATCTTTTTGAATGCTTAGGATCTTGGTATATTGCCGACGCATCATTGTCGCAAAGTCGAAACTCTATTTTCTTACTTTCAACTTAATTTTCACTTCATTTAGTGATAATTTAAGTGATTTAAATTTATCAAACTATTCTTCATTCAATTGCGATTCTTCCGGCTTTTATAAATCTTAGTTTGATCAATTAAATCGTTTGTAATCACTTATGTAAGAATTCTCAAACGGAACTCTATTTTTGTCTGATTCATGTTTGTTGGGTGATGACGTCATCTTGACGTTCGCACCTTTATTTTCTTTTTTCACAGATTTTAAATATATTTTATTTTTATTTCTTAATCAAATAATTTATACAAAATCATTCTTCGTAGAAAATTACTGATATTATATTATATTCCTATAATCGACCTAGAAAATTCTCACTATTTTTAGAATTTTTATTGAATTATAATTGATATATTTGTTCAGAAATACTTCTAAATATCTAAAAATTAACATTTTCTAGTTTTATAAATTTTAAATTTACATGATTTACTATGCAACGACTAAGTCACGTCACATGGCTAACACTCTTCACACATGTGATGTCGTGTTTCTATGCAAGAGATCTTATCTCATGCGAGTTTTGTCCATGTACTCATCGTGAATGCACATACACACACACTTTCAAGTATGTTCAAGGTTTCACTAACAAAGGTGTAACATCCTCTCTAATATGGTGAATCTAAGACCCTTGAGATAGGATGAACTTCCAAGTATTTGTTGATAAGTTCTTCATATTGTCAAAGGTAAATGTCACACATCTACATCACATTTTTCTAAATTCATTATCATCATTTGAAAAAAAATAAACATGATAATCTCTACAAGATTGCTGATAAATCTTCATTATTATGAGTTAATAATTAATAAATAATAATATTTTAGTCTTAAGTCATGATAAATATACTTATATTTATGTTAATTTATAAAAAGTGATTTTTAGTTGGTTAATATGATTTTTTGGCTAATTATGTGATTTTGTACAAATTTATATAATATTTATAACCTTATTTTTGAGATAAATAAAGAAAAATAAAAGAAAATAGAAAAATAGAAAAAAGGTGGACCTACTAGTCAGCCGGGCCTGCAAGCAGGTCAAAAGCACAATTAGGGTAGAGCAGCGAGCAAGGGCTCAAGCAGCTATGGACCGATAGAGGTACATGCGTGCCACTCCCCTTCCACGTCACCGATGGACAACTGACTGTGGGACAAGGAGTGGTCTTACACATGGGAGAAAGGGACTTATTAATTCTAAATCTAATATTACTATATATTCGTCCAAAACTTTGGCGTACAACTGATGTGGGACAAAATCTGTGTCACACCTTCCCCTGATTGGTGTCGATTATTTTAATACCTAAAATACCCCTTAGTTATAACAACGATATATCATGATGACATCACTTTATAAGGTTATTAGAGTACTTATTTTATTCTCTCTCATATAGGTGGACAATTATGAATTCATCAAGTAAATCATCTTCGATTGATTGATGAACAAGCCATCATCAAGAAGAGGATGATATGTTGGAAGACTAGTCATCACTTCCTAAAGGTGTATCAAATATGATGAAGAACCTCCTCTTGTTACACAGACTTGAGGATGAAGCTCTCTAACACACACCCCACAAGAAGATCTAGAGATTATTCACATCATTCTTATCCAATGAGAGCCTTTGAGGTCGTGAACACTGCACAATAATCCTAACATTCAAGATTTTAGTGCATTGTCGACTCATCGCTACCGCAATGTCAAAATTCTATTTTATCATTTT